CCTTAACCCTAAAAAAATAGCATTAAAAAAAAAGATCCTATATAATAAACTGGCAGGATCATTGCCAGACATTGCTGGATGATCAAGAATCTGAAGAAGATCATCTTCAGTAAATCCATCAGCACCGTTACGCTCCCCACGACCTTGACTCACAAGACTCTTAACTTTACCATTCAAAATCTGCCATAATTTGTAATATTGATCTTTATCCATAATGTTGATAGGTTTTGAAAAGACAGACTTATTATTCAAATGTCTATTTATTACAAACATGCAACTATTAACTGAAGAAACATGATATTCAGAACCATCTTTTTTTCTCATTGCATAAACAAATCTACAAAGCTGATCCTCTAATTCTTCTTTTGTATCAACTTACTCAATAAATCCTTGATAATTAACATCTGTTCTAAATTTTTCCAAAGCTCGTATCCAATTTGAAGTTGAATAATCAGTATTTTTACATCGGCTACTATCAATAAGATTGCGAAGATCATCATCAGTAGGCTTTTTATAAGTAAAGTTCACCTTTAATTTCTTACAAGGTCGTTTATCTTTATTATCTTGCATCTTTAAAATATTAATAGAAAGGTTTTGTGTAAAAAAGAGAGTCAGAAATGGAGAGAAATGAAATTGGATAAAGAAAAAAAATGATAAAAGCTTAATTTATGAGTTTAATTAGAGTTTAATAAAAGTTTAAATAAAACATCATAATGTCACACGATAATATCATTATTGTGCTTGCGTTGATAAATATACAATTATTAACCAATGCTGCATTCTGATTGGACAGATTTGGCCACTACGTGGCCAAATCCTTACCAATCATCTGCTAGCATTGGTTAATAATTGTAATATTAATCGCTACAAGCACTATAATTTATAATTATTGCATATAATTTTTATATAAATATTATTATTTGGCAAAAAGGTTAAAAATAATTTTACGTGGAAATATGGAATATTGGAATTTGGGATATTAGGATAGGACCTGAACAATACTAATATAGGTAAGATCCAGCAAAAAAAAAAAAAAAATTACTATTAGCCGTACGTAACACTTTCGACTATGGTCAGTACTCATAAATTTTTACAAAATATGCACTATAAATTTATAATCCTCTAATAACCTTAAATCAATTTAAAATTTAATTGATTTATTAGTCACTTTTATCATCAACCGTAAAATCATCTTCATCCATATTATTACTGTATATATTTGAATCTGTAACTAGTTTGAAAAACTATAAATAGATCTTTGTCCTTTACTTCACCCTGAACGTGCCATATGTCTATTTAAACAATCATCTTTATATTTGCGATTTAATTTTTCACATATACACGCTACTTTTCTTGAATGAACAATTGTGGGTAACATATTCATACTTAGCCAATCACTCCTTATAATATTTCCAACGAAATATTTTGCAATAAAGTAAGAATTCTCAAAAGAAAAAATTTTATTTTTATCGATTATCGTGGTATATGTAACGGACCCTATTATTCTTTCTACCCGCATATCTACTTGCACAAATCATTTTCAAAACAAGCAAACCAAATATCTGCTATTTTAAAACCTAACTAAAATTACGCAAAATTAAAATCTAACTATATCAAAAATTTTGACCAATTATACGCATTTTTAACTAAGTTTGTGATGCGCTGTCTCCTATCACTTATACCAGTATTATTCGGGTCCTATTGAGATTCAGGATTTGGGAAATAGGATTTCAGAAAATTGGAGTTTAAGTAATAAAGATTAGGAAAATTGTATGTTTCAAGAAAGGGTTCGGGAAATTAGTATTCAGGTAGGTAATTGACTTTGAGAAAAGAAAAATGACATTCATTATCATTAACACCATTTCCAATTTCCAGCTTCATATTCTAGTCCTGTTATCCTTTTTTCCAAATTCTTCCAAGTTGTCACGCGCCAAGCGTTATAGTAAAGACTTCAAACTCATAACCTAGTTCAGACATAATTTCAAATCTCAAAATCTAGTTAACTATAATAATATATTCAGAAAAGGAATATTAATATGTCAATTATTAAATAATCTATTTTGTCATACGATGAAAGATGGAAAATGTCAATATATACTTGAAATTGTTAATTAAAGCCAATAGCGTAACAAGGCGAGCCTATTTTTGTTGAAAATTCTTTGTAAGCAATTGGTAAAAAAAAACATATAACCTAAATATCAATTCCTAGCTACTGAATACATTATTAGTTATTATTTTTCTAGCATAATATGAACTGATGATGATATTTCTCAGGTTAAATTATCAAATACAAACGTAAAACAAATCTAAATTATTTGTATTAAATAATCGAATAGATTATACAAATTTCCTGTTATGGAGATTTATAGATTATAATAACAAATTTGCATTTCAGAAATATCAAAACATCTTATAATGGTTGTATATTATCAGTTATTTATTTTCTACTACGATTAAATTAATTAAATAATCCAGTTAATGTGACCGTATCTGTATATGTAAATTAAATTAATTCTTTCGTCATGCCGAAAAGTTCAATATAAAAAAGGAATAGTTTTTATAATCAATAACTTTATTTTATAATTGTTAAATATTAAAATTACTACACCTTGGTGTAAATCTTATCTATTTTATATAGTTATCGGGTATAATTATTCATGGTTTAATTTTAACAGTTAATTAATTTTGACTGATCTGTTATTTTTTTACAGTTACTTTAATAATTCATTCAAGAATTATAATACATAGTACAAATAAGTAATATTTTTATTGAAATTTGTTATTTATGCATTCTGCAAGATTTCTAAAATAAATAAATTCCTTTTCCCTTTTTAATTTATAAAGTGCAATAAAATTAGAATGCTAAATTATTTAAACCTATTAATTACATTTTATTTGACATAGTATTGCAAACAAAGTTTTAAATTATACAGTATATTTAATGTATATTCCATTATTTTTTCAATGAATCTGCTAAATTAATATTTGATGAGGTTATATATTACCTATGTACTGTACATAAAAAAATATATAATACGCAATAAAATTTTTATTATCATATATTCTTTTAATTGATTAATTTATTTAATTGATTTTGAGCTTCTTGACATCCTTGTTCAGCAGACTTTGTATACCAATAAATTGCTTGATTTATGTTCTGTTCAACTCCATTAACTCCATTTCCATTTTCATACATAATAGCAAGATTATATTGAGCATCAGAATTTCCTAAATTTGCAGATTTTTGATATAGTTCAAATGCTTTTTGATTGTCAATACTAGTTCCAATTCCTTTTTCATAAAAATATCCTAGATTACATACTCCACGTGCATTTCCTAAATTTGCAGCCTTTTGATATAGTTCAAATGCCTTTTGATTGTTAATACTAGTTCCAATTCCTTTTTCATAAGAATATCCTAGATTACATACTCCATGTGCATTTCCTAAATTTGCAGCCTTTTGATATAATTCAAATGCCTTTTGATAGTCAATACTAGTTCCAGTTCCAAGATAATAACAAGTTCCCAAATTATTCATTCCACGTGCATTTCCTAAATTTGCTGCCTTTTGATATAATTCAAATGCCTTTTGTTCATCAACATTGGTTCCAATTCCCTTTTTATAACAGTGTCCTAAACTAACTATTCCAGGTGTATTTTCTGAATTTGCTACCTTTTGATATAATTCAAATGCTTTTTGTTTATCAATACTGGTTCCAACTCCATTTTCATAACAATATCCTAAATTATGTACTCCACATGCATTTCCTAAATTTGCAGCCTTTTGAAATAATTCAAATGCTTTTTGTTTATCAACATTGGTTCCAACTCCCTGGCTATAACAGTATCCTAAACTAATTATTCCAGATGTATTTTCTGAATTTGCTGCATTTTGATATAATTCAAATGCTTTTTGTTCATCAACATTAATTTCAATTCCAAAATGATTAAATATTCCAAGTAAAAAAACAGAATTTGAGTTATTCTGATTATTCAATAACCAATTATAAATTTTTTGTGAAGTTATATTATGATTATTGAGATAATTAACAATTTCATGTTTTTTCCTTTCCATTTCTGTATTTCCAAGAAGAAGAATTATTTCATTAATCATAATATCAAAATTATTCTCTGATGATATTGAAGTATCCATTTCTTCTGTATTCATATTATTAAAATTTTGAATAAGTTGAGACATTTCTCCATGTAATGAATTATTATTAATATTTATAGGAGTTTCAACAATATTCTGCTGTTCATTTGATAATAATTCGATGTCTCCTTTTAAAATAATTGCATCTAATTTTGCAACAACTTGGTTGATATTTGGACGATTATCTGGTTCATTATTCCAGCAATCTAAGTATAAAATAGACTTGCAATTAATAAATGTAATTATTATGAACATAATTAAAATTTATTTTTATTTACCAGTATATATCTTTATATAATCTTCGGGTGTATTGGGAATGGGTTTCTCTCTAAGACCATGTAATATTTCCATAGCCAAACCAACATCACATGGTTCATTGCAAAAAGGTGGCCGACCACTAGATATTTCCCATAAGAGTATGCCAATACTGTAAACATCGCTCTTTTTATTTAACGAATATAATTGTATTTGGTTATTGCTATCTCTTTTTCTATTAAATACTTGTGGATCAATGTAAGTAATCATTCCAAATAATTTTGGTTGAATATTGGATGATTCATCAATCCTTTTTGATAATCCAAAATCAGCTAATTTAATGGTATCCTTATGAACTAATACGTTATTGGAGTGCTATTATGATAATAATGATAATATTAGGTAAATAATGTTACAAACTCTATAATTTAATGAAATATCAAAAGTAAATAACCTACCAAATCACGATGTATAATCCCTTCATCATGCAAGAATGATATAGCATTAGCTAACTGAAATGCTAGATTTAATTTGTCATTCCAAGTAAGATTTTTAAAATATCTATTTAAATAGTTTCGAAGGGTACCATTATTGGCATATTCCATCACTAAAAAATATTTTTTTTCTATGTTGCTTTGATTTTCTTTTTTAAAAAAAAAAAAAAAAAAATTCATTTAGATTTTTCATTTTATTAAAATAATGATTAAAATATTTATAATACCCGTTGTAATTCCATAAAAGCGAATTATATTTTCATGAAAATCAATTTCATGCTGAAGTTTAAGCTAAACCAAAACATTAAATTGATAAATTAGAACATAATTTACGTCAACATATCATAAAGAACAATATATAATAGTTACTTCATTAACAACTTCTTTAGCCGTGACATTGAAATTAAAAAAAGATTTCAATGCTAAATAACTATGAGAACTTTTCCAATTCGCACGATAGACTTTTCCAAAACTTCCAAAACCAATTTCTTGTATATCATTAAAATGATTATAGTCATAATATTTAATTTGTTTTTTCGCAACAGATTCTTCAATCCAATTAATCCACTCATTTGAATTATCAGTCATTTTAAATTCAGTCATTGTTATTATTGCGGTAGTTAGTTTTTACTGTGGGAGTTAATTTTACGTTGAAAAAAATTTAAAAAAGAGAAGGAAAAAATATTTTTGTACTATTTATAGAAATTTGGTGTTACGAAATAAGATACATTTGTGTAATTTGTAAATCATGCCATCCCACCGTCCCACTTTTTCAAAATCAATAAATAATTTTAACGTGACATGACGTTGACAAGCATTGTGAAATGTAACACAGAAACTTCATCACTTCTATTTTTATTGCACCCCGGTTTTGTGGGCGTGGTTTTTTGTATCACGGGGGTGACAAATAAATTTTTGACACTAAAAAAAAAACCAAGTCCCTCAGATACTTAATGTTTTTGAACTCGTGGCTGCACGTGATCAGGCGACACTTAAATTTCACTTGTTCCTTATATGGTGAAGATCGACACAAACCGCGCCCACAAAACTTGGGTGCTTTTTTATTTAAATATTTACAAATCTACATAAAGTGCATAAAGTGCTAAGTCTACGTAAGGTTTTTATGTGTTCGATCGTAAACAAATTCTTTAGTTAATTGAAAAGCTTCAATGCATGATAGATTTTGAAATTATATCTAAAATTAATTTTTAACAGATTATCATCGCTAATAATTTAGTACTGTAATAACATCAATTCGATATCTCGAAATGCAATTGATTTAAAAAAGCGATGCTAAGATATATCACAAATTTTAAAAAAATGAAAAAATGCACTCTCTAATATGTTGTAACTGTAGATTAATTATTTATGAAAAGCATTGTCAAAAAATTTATAATTAAATTTATATTTGAGAATAGGCAAAAGAATAAAAATGGGTTGTAATATCTATATTGTACTCATTTTAAATTTTTTTTTTTTTTTTTTTTTTTTTTTTTTTTTTTTTGTAACTTATGATTTAAATCAAGTAAAATTATACCAAAATAAAGTTTCAACTAAGATAATTTTAATGATATTAAAAATAAAATATTATTGACAAGGAGTTAAAAAAGTCACATACTTTCAGTTCCCTCTCAGATTTGGAATAATAAAATTTACCTAACTTTAAAATAATAATGATAAAATTTTAAATTCTTAAACATAAATAAACAAATCAAATTTTGCTTAAAGTTCTAAGCTTTTACGATTTTTCAACCTTAAATACATGTAAAACTTTTACTCTGTATAAAAGGTCGATCCGTTTTTATTTTCCATCTTTTTTTCCGTAAAAGGCTCGTATTTCCGGAATTAATAACCTTATATCACGGAATTTATCAAATTATTTAAATTTTTCATGAATGGATCCGTGAAAGACTCATTTTTATGGAGTTTTTGCAGAAACAACGAACAAAATTTTTTATGGGCTTAAAAACAAATAAAAATACAGTAATTACTTACTATGTTTAATATACAAATAATATGAAATAAAGTCTTGTCCGTACCATAAACCCCTTAGAATGCTACGGCCGCTACGCAGATACAATTTGAAATTAGGGGTTGTGAAACAAATATCACGTTTTTCAAAGTTAAATCCTTAATTTAATAAAACTATTTGAACATTTTGATATATTTTTCCTTGGAAAAAAATCATAAATTTGTTGTGTAAATAAATAACCTTGAAGTTTAATAAACACGAGGGTGGTCCGTAGCTAACCAATTTCACTAATAAAAATTTTCTTCCGATCCATAAGTACTTGAGGAAGCCTTTAATCTCGGGTAAGAAGTATACTACTAAATTCAGATGGATCAAATATTAATTTTCTCATATAATATTAGACGAAAGAAGAGCGTCCGAAGAGATCAACTTTATAATGTATCAACAATATTACAAAATCGAAAATACAGTAAATAAATTTTTTTAAAAATATTGTGACTAAAAAATTTAAAGCAAGTATGTGTGGTATTTGTAGAACAATTATAATAATAATGATTGATATAAAGGTACTAAATCATAAACAAGTGAAATTTTTTTTAGATTTTGATGTTGAATTAATTATTTGTGATATACGATCTTTGATTATATAAATTTCATCATAATATATACTATAAAGTTTTAAATTTCTAATGTTGTAAATGAAATTTGGATTTTGTAAAATTAACTCAAGAATACTATCAATACATATAGAATCTTTAATAATACACTAACGCTAATAATACATGGGATATCAATTTCAAGGATATGTAAATTTACTTTATTTTTAATAAATATTTTAAATAGTAATAAACATATATCAATTATTGAACTTTTTAAATATTTATTTTTGGAAGTTGATGTTTTCCATTTCTTAACAGAAGAAATAAATTTATATGTATTCAAGTATTTTAAAAAACTAAGATAATTGAACAGTGTATTTGAAGGTAATGAATTATTAATAATTTTATATTCATTTAATTTTGTTTTAGAATTATGTCAATAAAATTATAGTTTCTGGTAGAAATTGAAAATGGATTTTCTCATAATAATGGAATCTTTAAACTAAACGACAACATAATCTGTTAACTAAAATACATGAATGTAAAGTTGAATGATCATTCTGTAAATATTTTATAACTTCATAAGTTAATTCGGGCAAGTCTCCTGAAAATAATTTTGAACATGACATATTATAAGTGAAGAGAGAAAAAGAGAGAAGGTATTTGTATATCACATATTCACATTTTACTATAATTTTCGAAATGATCTTACTGACTAAATGGATTACATATACGTCCAAAGTTGTTGATATTAAATTGTCCAATAAGGTTAAAACTTAAGAAAGGTAATATTTGTAGTAACTTTAAAATTTTCAAATTTTTCATACAATTTTTTTCTATTAAAAGCAAACCTTCATGTGCTAAATATAATAAAATTAATTCTTCATGGTTTAGGTTTTGCTGTCAGCTTCTTAGTTTTTCCAAACACTGTTTTGTACATGAAAACTGTTTTGTGATACCAAAAAATCACCTGATAGACTACTATACGGACATCTTCAAGTATATTTATAAAAAATTTCATATATATTAACATATCAAATTTCATATAGATTTTTTATCCAAATCAAATCATTATTGGCCAACTTTGATTAGTAACAACCTTTTAATTTTAAATAGGTAAAAATCATAATTAGCTGAATTCTCTACAAATAAAAAACCTATACTATGAGCGTAAATAGTGGATTATATTAAATTTTCATAGATTACGTTTGATGAAAAGAACATCTATACAAAGTTTTAAACTTCTGCAATGCATATTTGTCTTCTGCCATCAGTTTTTTATGGGATTATTCAATTTTATCACAAACTATATATCTATTAATTTTACTTCAATTGAGAATTCCAGATACTATAAATTTATTTTATTTTTATCCAAATCCAACCGTTATTGACCAAATTTTACAAGTAGTTTGAACCAATAAATGAGCAATAAATCGGCAGGAGATAAAAGCATGTCCGTCCTGAATAAAAAATCAGAATCAATATTTACTATTACATTCCACTCTTTTTTTAATTGGGGCAACGGAAATTATTGAAATCATTCAAATTTAGCATTTAACGTAAATTATCAAATCTGCCGACCGGCCTGACCGCCGATATGGTACCTACCATAACTCTTGTTTCAAGTATTTTTGCTTGTGTCCTTTTTGTTTTTTTCTTTAGGATTCATTGCCTTGAATAAAATGTTAAATAATCCTTGAAATTTAGGAAAATGACTTTCTAAATAATTTTCTTTGCTGATCTTGGTAAAAAACCCATCATTTTTTTACTATTTGATCATTAAAATCATTTGAAGTCAATATTAATGAATAAAATAACGCAATTAGTGTATCATATATATTTAAATAACATAAATAAATTAAATAACCATTATTTTTCTCTGTAGTCTCCAACCTTCGATCTTAATTCTGATACTTCTCGTTTAAGTTATTCTGTTCTTAAAGCACTATTTAATAAAATTTCATATGTATCTTGCAATAAACAACCCATTTCACCCTATTATATGCTGAGTCTACTTCATATGTCAGCTTTTTAAAATTATTTTTATCAAACAAATATAGTGCTTTCACAAAGTTAGTCACATACTGTAGTTTGAGTTCTACAGCTCTGAATTTTCATGAATTTTATAATTCAGAGCTTTTTAAAACTTTTTTAAAATAGATTTTGTGATTTCAGAAGTTTCATTAATATCATCCTTACTACAAATCACACACAGTCTTTTATATCTATTCTGATTAATAGAAGTTTATTCTATTTTGGGATCTTAAAACTCTTTTTTGGGATCTTTATAAAATAACAAATTTTGCGGGGTTATATAAGTTACTAAAGTAAAAATAACAATAAAAGTGTCGTAATGGATCATGAGCCAACTAAACTGGCCAATCATTGGTGAACTTTAATTATGCTACCCAGCATCAAATATAATCGGCTCGGCAAGACGAATATTTAGCCCTATAAAAAAAGTGAAAGATACGTCTAGATACGTCTAGATATGTTTAGAGATACGGAATTATGCATCTTTCCATATCTCTAAACACGTATCTAGACGTATCTAAAACGTATCTACTTTTTTTATAAGGAAGGATTGATAAAATTCTATCTACTTATTTTTTGATTCTCGTAACCGTCCCCATCGATTTTTCAAAAATCTGGATTTTTTTATACTAAATTTTTTTGTCGCATTTATTTTTGTATATAACTCATAAACAATGTATTATTTTATATGATTCTCGTAACCTATCCCATCAATTTTTCAAAAATATAGATTTTTTTATTGAATATTTTTTTCGTATTATATATTTGTATATGACTCACATAAACAATGTATTATCGATATGCGTTTTTCTTTTAACCGAAGTTGTTGCATAGCATTCGTCACAATAGTATTAATATCCTTCGTTTATACTAACTTTATTGGATTCATTACACTCATTTTCTGGCATTTTTCACGCTGAAAATAATATCCTTGAATAACCTGCTTGAATGATAAAACAATTAACAACTTCATTAATAAACATTTTTCCTATATCATCACTTAACAAATTATGACGTAAGAAGGCAAAAATTTTTTTTGCCCGACCTTATATTAATTCTAAATTTTAATTGTATTCAATTAATATGGAAATTGTATATTCTTTATTATTTTGAAACAATGTTACGTGAATAAATACAAGAAACCAATTCTCTTAGAATTAACTTCTCCATTTAAGCTGCTTGGTTTGGCTTGAAGATAATTGACATTTGGCTTCAGCCTTCAGAACACTATTCCATCTCTATTCCTTAAGTATACCATCATTTTCTGTAGCTTTTGCGGTTAGTTGTGTATATGGTTCTTTTTTTTCGAGATTTAGTTGTATCTGCAGTGTAAAATTTTCATATCATCTCATCGTACCACTAGTGGTACGATGAATAATAAGAAAATAAAGATGTTATCAGTTATCCTCAGCAGATTTTTTAATTGTCATTTGGTCGATTATCTCATTACTATGTATTAGCATAATAATAAAATTATTGGATAGTAACAGCAGGAGTTTATTCATGAACGGCTCAGACAGACTAATATATAATTATACGATAATGACATTGATACATTAGTTAACGTTAACAATGTAATACTACTAGGAAACAGAAGCCCTTGGAGCGAAAAAAGATAAACCTAAAATTTGCAATTTCATTGGATGACGTCACGTGAGGGGCAGATAAAATTTTTCATAATGCGTAGACATCGGACAATAAATACCATACAATAGTATAACACCCATAATACCCATAAATTAATTTGTAAACTTGTAGTATTAAGTAACTCACTATATTAAAATAAAAGAATTTCATTTAAAATGAAAGTACTTGCACGTGCCGTAGCTTACATGATATTTTTATTGAGAAGAATAATTACAGAGAATATAAAATACGTGCATATAACTTAGTATACTAGCCAAGATATTGATTCTTTTATACTACCATTCAGGCATTTGCCATATTGGCTAAAAAGAAAAGTTTGATTCTCACGTAATTTTATCACGTTAAATAATATTTTTCAAACTAGAATTAAAAAAGTTAGTTTCACCATTCATATTAATTAGTTATAACAATAATGTTTTCTTTGAAGTAATTTTTCATATAATGATTTTTAAAGAAAGGAAAAAACAGTAAAATATATTTTTGTTTCTTAAAAAAAGAAATGCGAATGTCAAATTTACTGACGCTTCATACATTAAATACGAAGTATAGGTTCAGTTTGGATAATTTATAATACAATTTGAACATTTAATTAGTAAAACAGAAAAAATATTTATCTAACAATTTTATATCTTCTTGACTCTTAAAATTTCATAAGATGAACGAAAATTATGACTGAAAATTATTGAGGCAGATAATTGGCTGATTTTAATAGGATAAACTCTTAAAAATGAAGTTCTGAACTTTCTGTTACTACGGTATCAGAATTTTGTTTTTCATTTCCAGAATAATTTTAAAAATTGATGTTTATATACAGATACACGAAAAGATTTTTTTGTATCACGTAATTAAATCTTTTTTTTTTAATATTTCAATAAATGTACATACACAGAAAAGTATTCAATTTTTTTTTTTTTAGATTTAAATATTTTATTAATTAATTATATATCAAAAGTATTAGATTTGTTATAAATATTGCAATATAAATATTTACATTTCAAATGTACTATGTATTATTTAGTATATCAATTTAAATTTTTAAAATTTTGTTCAATTACAAACTGATTTTTATTATGTAAAGAAAGTATACATATTACTCTATAATCAGTGTTAAACAAAAACTAATGATATAAAATGTTTAATAAAAAGATCAAAGTATAATAAATTGTTCTAGTTTAAATTTTAAAGAGGTAATTTTTTATATAAAAGATGCACTACAAGTTTAAAATATCTTATTATCATTTCATTTAAATGAATTTAATACACTCTTCTTTACTCTTGAGCTATGATCATAAGCTATTATAATATATAAGTAAAAAAGAGATGAAATAAATAAAAATATATATATAAAAATAAAAAATGTTCTTACTAAAATCAAGTAATTTAACCATGTAATTACTAATATTATCATTTTAAAAGATTTTTTGTAAAAGGATTAAGTAATCGAGATGTATAAATAGCTTGTGTATGAGTAGTTGATTGATCATTTTTAATTGATAAAAACCTTGCTTTTCTAAATTCTTCTGTTTCTTTAAATTGCCCTTCCATTTCATAGTGTTGCTGTTCCTTTTCTTCAAATATTTGATTTAATGAATTACGGAATGATTCAACCATTTCTTTTATTTCATTAGAATTTGGTCTATTTTCTGGATCTAAATCCCAACATCTTTTCATTAAATCAATATAACATTTTGGTGTAATTTTTTCATTTATTTCAGGTCTAATCCCATTGCATATATTTAGTACTAAAACCTCATCATGAGCATAATCAATGAAAGGTTGTCTTCCAGTTGCTATAATATACATAATCATACCAAAGCTATATATATCTGCTTCTTCAGTATAAGGTTTTCCTTTTAATACTTCAGGAGCTACATAAGGCATAACTCCATAAATACTTGTTTCATCAACATCATCAATTTTTCTATATAATCCCACATCAGAGATTCTTACTTTATAATTATTATCTATAAATAATATATTTCCTATATGAAAATCATGATGAACCATCTGTTCTTGATGGATTTTACTAAGGTTACCAATAATATTAGTTAATACTTTTAATCCATTAAGCCAATCAAAACTTTCATAATTTTTATCTAAATAATTATTAAAATTTCCACCTTTTGCATATTCAAGAACCATGATATAATCTTTTGTATTTGGATCTTGAGATATTCCATATAAGTTAATAATATAATCCATCATTTGTCTTGGATATACTTTAATCTATGAAATAATATAATATTAAAAACATGTATAAATTAATTTGTCAAAAAATGCTTAAATTATAAGGAAATTTGTACCTTATTTATAAACTCATCAAGAGAATTTTGTGAATTATGTAAACATTTTAAAGCAACTTTTCTATTCGGTATTCTTTTCCAACTTTGACTTGAGTATTTATATAATAATAAACCATCTTTCCATATTGCTGAATATACTGTAGAGAACCCACCTTTACCTATTTCTTCAATGTTACTAAACTGATCATATGGTATCCATTCAAATATTTTATCAGAGTTCCCAAAATTTTGATTAATATTTAATTTCATTTCTTGAATTAAATCTCCAATTTTTTTATTTTCATGATTTGTTTGACACGATATACAGCTTTTATTATCTATTTCAAACTTATTGTTGTATTTCCCCCAACAGTTTTCACAATAATATTTAGGTTGAAGAACTAAAATAAAATCATTTGTATTTTGTATTCGAGATATTCCATAACTCTCATTAATTAAATGTATAATCTGTTAAAATATAACATCACTATTAATAAATATTAATAATTAAATTAAATTTTTTAGAAAATTTCATACCTCATTAAAAAATACATTAATATTTTGTAAATTATACCAATGTTTTAATAAAACTTTTCTATTTAATTTCCTTTTATAGTTACCATTTGATGAACTGTAATATAATGGTCCATCTTTCCAGATTGCTATAGTAAAGCCACTTTTTCCTATTTCATTAATATTAATAAACTTATTGTATGGTATCCATTCGAACACTGTATCACTATATTCACTAATTCTTGATTGGCTTTTTTGAATAAATTCATCAATTTTCTTATTTCCACTAGTCCAGTTTGTAAAATTACTCTTTAATTGATTTATTTGACATTGTTTACACCATTTAATATATTTATCACTATATTCATCTTTAACATATTCATTACCACATTTTATACAGTAATTATCAAAGTGATAGTAACTAAAAACCAAAATATATTCCTTTGTATCTGGATTTTGAGAAAATCCATAGCAATCATCCGTTAAGTAAGATTTAGTAATCTACCAAAATACAAAAATAATTAATATTATATTAATTTTCAATCTAAATTTGTAGAAAATTCCAATACCTCAATTAAAAATTCGTCAGTAATATCATGTAAATTATGTAGATATTTTAAACAAACTTTTTCACATGGTTTTCTTATCAATCTATTTTCACTATAATATAAACTATAACATAATAACCCATTCTTCAATATTGCTGTAGTAGAACAACTATCTTCTATTTCCTTAATAATAATGAGCTCATTAAATGGTATCCATTCAAATACGCTACCATATCCATTGTATTTTAATTGCTTTTCTTGAATGAAATTATCAATTATTTTATTTCCGCTAGACCAGTTTGTAAAATTATTTTTAAATTGACATTGGTTACATATCCTACGGTATTTTTCACCACAATTTTCACAATAATATTCAAAAAAATCCTCACTGAAAACCAAAATATAAACATTTGTATCCGGATTTTGAGATATTCCATTTAAGTATTCATTATCTAATAAATATGGCTCAACCTATTAAAATACAAAAAGTTTAAAATTATGTTAATATTAAAACTAAATTTATAGTAAATAAAAATTTAAATACCTTATTTAAAAATTCATATTCATTAATATTCTGTAAGTCGTATAAAAATCTTAATATAACTTTTTTATTTAATTTTCTTGTCCATTCCTTTTTACCAAAGTCATAATATAATTGACCATCTTTCCGTATTGCTGTAACAAAAACACTTTTTTCTATTACATTAATATCAATTAGCTCATTATATGGAATCCATTCAAATACTGTACCACGTCCATTGAATTTTAATTGCTTTTCTTTAATAAAATTATCTATTATTTTATTTCCACTTGTCCAGTTTGTAAAATTATTTTCTATATGTTTTATTTGACATTTACACCATTTAAGGCGTATAGTATTTTCATATTTATTACCACATTTTTCACAAAAATATTCCAAATAATTTTTACTGAAAGTTAAAATATAATCCCTTGTATCTGGATTTTGAGTTATTCCATAACAATGTTCTGTTGAATATTCTGTTTCATATAATGAATATGATTCAATCTATCAAAATACGAAAAAATTAATATCGTATAATTAACTTAAATTCATAGAAAATTAAATACCTTATTTATAAATTCATCGGTAAGATCTTGTGGATTATGTAAATATCTTAAACAAACTTTTTCACACATGGATCTTATCCATTCCTTTTCATCTTCATCATACCATAATGGACCATTCTTAAATATTGCTATATTCAAACAATTATCTCCTATTTCTTTAATATCAAGAAGTTCGTTATATGGTATCCATTCAAATACTCTACCGCTTCCATCATATTTTAATTGCTTTTCTTGAATGAAATTATCAATTATTTCATTTCCACTTGTCCAATTTGTAAAATTTTTTACAATAATTTCCTTCCCGCTGGCAAAATCCCAACAATCTGCAAAGTCTAATTCCATTGAATATTAAAATTTTTTGAGCGAAAATAAATAATTCCTCGATTTATAAAATGGTTGTAAAAAACAGTACAATAAAACCAAATTTGGTCAACAAAGAAAATATGACGTAATAAATTTTTTTGCGTAATGATGTACGCATAAATCTTTATTGCCTATCACAAATCATTTTTTTTAAAAAAAAAAATTCATAGAAGCATCCGCCGTATAATTTATAGGCAGAAGGAATCAAAGGGTTATAAATCCTTATATACATCGTTTACAGAATATTTTGTTCTTTTTTGAGAATAAACTTTTTAAAGATTTGCGAATCGTTAAGACATCTTAGAGTTCTTATATAACATTTCATACATTTTTTATATAAACTTAAACATTTTATGCGTTCTATTGGATAATGATGTCGCTAATCTTTTAAAATGACTAATAGGAAAAAGAGTTAGGATCGTCAAAAATTCTGACAAAGGGGAGAAACTTTAAAGACAATTGTTGATGAATAGTTTAAATAAGCATTACATGATCATGGCGGATTTATGAAATACCCAAAATTTGTCCGTCAGATCATCTTGTATAAGAAAAAAAGAATCCAATTTTGGAATATGCTATCACATTCGTCATATAAATTATGTCCATCGAGATAGTTTTCTTTGGTTTATGCTGCTGGAAAAAACTACATTCAAATTTTGCAATTAAGAAAATAACCCAAACACCTATTTATAACTTGCCAAAAACCGTCCCATGAAGTCTACGAGCCACATTATTTAAAAGATAAAAAATCATTAGAACATTTCTTAATGAATGTAAATACTCCTTATAATTTAAGCTCTTTTATTTTCATTCCATTCATTCCATAGAATTCAAGAAGTTACTGTAAAGAGGTGTTGTATCTAGGGAAATTTTTTAATTAAGCTGATAATTTGATAAATCATATACTTCAAGTAAGTTGTTAATAGTTTGTTACTACATATTATTCTGATAAATAAACAAACCAAATGAAATTAATATCATATGGACGAAATTTCAATAATAAACATATAAATAGTGATCGGCGAATTAGAACGCGAAATTTGACTCTTAATAAGACGGGAACTGTTGGGAATTGGGTTTAGGTACACGTGATAGTACTTAATACAAAATTATTTTGGTGTGTTGTAAAGTAAAACTAAAATTTTTAAACTTTAAAATATTTAGTTATTTGTACTATTATAATACTATTAAATTATTTATATAATATTAAATAACAAAATATTGATGTTTTATTATAAGAATTAAAGCTATATATATTTATTTCAATAAATTACAAAGTTTACCGAAAATATTTTATCATTAGGTAAATATTCTTCGAATGTTAAGTATACCCAGTATTTGTAAAAAATTTCTGTTGTCTATAAATAAAATAAATATAAAGTAGAAACAGTTATTCATCTTTAGGTGTAGCAAATGATTTTTATAGAGCAGTTTTTATTTTAGACTGAGGTTAGAAGCTTTAATTTTCTTAGATTGTATTCTGTAAATTTGTCTGATATTTATTAAGAGATTTCTTTTTAATATTTAATAATCACTATTACTGACCTACATTAGTAAAATCAGGTCGTTGAAATGAAAGAAAGCTTTTTTTTTTTTAATAACGCATTTCTTTATTAAGCATCATATGAAACATAGATTACAAAATTTAGAAATACTTAGAGGTAAACAATTACAAAAATTGAATAACCCTATAACTAACCAGTCTATCCTAAACTGACGAATACTATGCTAAATACTTTACTTATAACGTAAATAAGAAAATAAAATAAAAATACTATAAAATTCAAAAATCACTAAAAATGTTAATAAAGTTTTTGTCTAATTATAAAATGTTACTAATTTTTGTATATTTTATATTAACTCTATTAATTTCTTATTTTACGTTTTTTCTTATTACTTTCTTTCGTCTCATCTGAGTCATCCGAACTTACATTATCCTCTTTTGGTTTTGTAGACAGTAGTGGCTTCATTGGTAATCTCTTGCTGAAATCTCCATTCAAATTTGTAAATTCTTCAACAACCTCTTTACTATTTCCAATATGTGTTGATGTTGGTTCAATTTCTGATTGGTCCGTCGCGTCAAAATATAACTCTTTATCCACTGGAACATTGTCCCACTGTTGCGTAGATGAAGTATTTGTTGTTGGTTCGAAATGAACGGCCTTTTAAATTTGTAATTATTGTTCTTTCCAAATAATTCCTGTTGACTCTTCATTTGTAATCCTTGTCCCAATTTTTCCTCCATCGTTGATTTATAAATCGCTTCCATCATTTTCATTTCGTAGTTGAAGTATAACAATATATACGTTGACCCATACGATCTACTGTAATAATCTTTCCAAATAAACATGAGCTTTGTAAAGTTTGATGTACTTGACTATACGATCGATATCCTGGTCTACTGGAACTTTTCCTTTAATTTTAACGTTGCTTGCCAAGAAAATCGATTTCTAATTTTGTTAGCCGGCATTCTCCCATTAAACCATCACGAAAATCTTGGAATTTCCTTTTAACACCCCCGTTCACGAAATTTTCGTCAGCCGCTCGTATTAATCTAATTTTCGCTTTAACTGATTTATATTTGTAAGCTACTTTAACACTAAGCGATTCTATAATTCTGATTCTGGACAGTGCTTCGTTCGTCCCATCCCTTAGGAATATCATAAAATAAAAAATCACGTGACTTAACTGCATAGATCTCAAATTTTATCCACGGAACTTTCTCAATTGATCTAACGATCTTTTGCTTTTTTGATAAAGTTCCGCATTTTTTGATTTTCTTTGTTTCAACATCTCATTTTTTGGTGGTGAATTACTATTTTTGTCTCCAGTCTTATTTTCATCCAACTTTTTTGATAATTCCGCTATCTCCTCATCTTTCTGCTTTATCCTCTTCTAATTTAGTCATAGTTTCCTTTATCTTTTTCATCATTTCAAAATAATTAAATCTTTTTGTTGAATCAGTTGTTTTTGCTGTGTCTCCACTGCCAGCTGCGCATTTGGGAAGCATCATTGTACTTTCCGTTTTAAAAATTCTGAAATGAAAATTGTTGTCAGGCACGAGAAAAGAGTTTCAGGTCTATTTAACGCTATGTAAATCATATATTCTTTGTCTTTAGTATCCGACTAGTAGGTTACTTTTAATTTTAAACTCTCTACTTTTTGTGGTGGTTATGTTTTATGTCAAGCACGTAGTATATCGAACGTCTACGTATGAAACAAGGTACTAAAATATCATTTTTTTCCTCAGCACTTTGGTCGAGTAATAGAGTCTTTGTTTTTTTCTCAATGTAAATCGGAATAAAAGAAAGCTCAAAAGATTCAGGAATTTTATTATTTGGTTTTAACATACTAAAGTGAGAGAAAATGTTACCAATACTTCTATTATAAATAGGAAACGTCTATATACTGAAATTTCCATATCACTATAAAATAAGCATTTAAATTTATTGGCTAAGGATTTAAAAACTTAGATATTATAATATTCAATCAAGATTAATTGAACTGAAATTAATAGAGGAATAATAAGTGCTTAATTTCACAGGATGGATATTGACGTCTTGCAATGGTTAGTCCAAGAATTGGAATATTGTAAAGATTATATTAATGAAATTATGAATTCTCTAATCCCTATACATGAAATTTACCTTATCATTTTTAAATCAATCAAAAAAAGTAAAGAAAGGTAATAATGTAGAAGATCTTGAATCTTTTAGTAATAATGGTAATAATAATAATCAAGATGGATTAAGTTCTTTTTAATCTGTTAAGGCCATTTTAGATATTTTAGTTCTATATGGAAAAAGGATTCTTCGCTTATTTTGATCCTGAGATACAATTAAATTTAAATTTAGGAGAGATGTATTCATTGATACTCAAGTATAATGTTTATTCTCCCAAAAGTCAAAATGGTTTAATTAGTGACCAGAATCTGATGATCTATAGCTCATTTGGATGCTTTAGTCAAAACCATTCTATTTTTATTTAAATATTTAGAGGCTTTGCTTACAATCTCGGTACTAGTGGTCAATCAGATTCCAATGATCTTTACACCATTATATTAGTCTCATTGAGAAGATTCAAATAATAAAATGCTTTATGATTGTAGTTTTGATATTGACGAAGATATTGCAATTTAAAAATTTTTATTGTTTTGCAACTATTTGAAATTATGTTAATGATATAATTTTGGCCAATTTAACTTTATTTTGACTTTAAGCATCCAAAACCAAAATATTTCGACTTTGGCTTTAAAATTTCAACTTCATGTATAATTTTAATCAGAACTATTCAAAACTTTAAAAAATATATAAATATGAAAATAAATTTATTCATTTATTTAGTTTGCAGTTATTACATAAATTTGTTAATTACAACCTGATTTTAATATAAAGAAAGATTTACATTTTAATTTATAATCAGTGTTAAACAAAAGTAGTAATAAAAATTCTATTGTTTAAAAGTAAAAGTGATAGGATTTCTTAGCCTAGCCTTGGGAAGTATTTTTTATTAATTATAAGCTGCAAATATTTGGCAGAAATTTAACTAAATATTTTTACTATTTGGATATCTTTACTATTATATTATTTAAACTTTTTAGCCATAGAAAATTGTTATAAGCTAAAATATAAAATAATAAGAATAAGATAAAAGTAAATAAAAAATACAAAATTAAAAAATACTACTTACTTTGTAAAATCAATAATTTCTACTGTATTGTTATTAATATTATCATCATGTTTTGGAAGACTTTTTGTAAAAGGATTAAGTAATCGAGATGTATAAATAGCTTGCTTATGAGAAGGTAATTGGTTGATTTTAATTGATGAAAGATTTTCTTTTCTATTATCCTGTGTTTCTTTAAATTGCTCTTCAATTTTATAGTGTTGCTGTTCCTTTTTCTCAAATTCTTGATCTAATGAATTACAGAATAATTCAATCATTTCTTTTATTTCAAGGGAATTTGGTCTATTATCTGGATTTGAATCCCAACACATTTTCATTAAATCAATATAACATTTTGGTGTAATTTTTTCATTTATTTCAGGTCTAATCCCATTGCATATATTTAGTACTAAAACCTCATCATGAGCATAATTAATGAAAGGTTGTCTTCCAGTTGCCATAACATACATAATCATACCAAAGCTATATATATCTGCTGTATAAGTATAAGGTTTTCCTTTTAATACCTCAGGTGCTACATAAGGCATAACTCCATAGATACTTGTTTCATTAATATCATCAATTTTTTTAGATAATCCCAGGTCAGAAATACATGCATTATAATTATTATCAATAAACAATATATTTCCTATATGAAAATCACGATGAACCATTTGCTTTTGATGAATTTTACTAAGACCTTCAATAATATTAGTTAAAATTTTTAATCCATTAAACCAATTAAAATTTTCATAATTTTTATTAAAATAATCATTGAAATTTCCACCTTCTGCATATTCAAGTACCATAATATACTCCTTTGTACTTGGATTTTGGGATATTCCATATATTTTAAGAATATTATTTATTTTTTGTCTTGGATATGCTTTAACCTATAAAATAATATAATATTAAAATATATAAATTAACTTGTTAAAAAAAGGCTTAAATGATAAGGGAATTCATACCTCATTTATAAATTCATCAAGAGCATTTTGTGAATTATGTAAGCATTTTAAAGCAACTTTTGTATTTGAGTTTCTTATCCATTTCTCATCATCGAAAAGATCATCATCATAATACAATAAACCATTTTTCCATATTGCTGAATATACTGTAGAGAATCCACCTTTACCTATTTCCTTAATATTATCAAACTGATCATATGGTATCCACTCAAATATTAAATTAGATTTACTAGAATTATGATCAATACTTAATTTTATTTCTTGGATTAATTCATTAATTTTTTTGTTTTCATGATTTGTTTGACATAATACACAGCTTTTATTAACTATTTCAAATTGATGATTATATTTTTTCCCACAGTGTTCACAATAATATTTAGGTTGAAGAACCAAAATAAAATCATTTGTATTTGGATTTTGAGATACTCCATAACTTTCCTCAATTGAATATTCAATCTGTTGAAATTTGACAAGATATTATGTTAATATTATTAATATCTAAATAAATTACATTTCGGAAATATTTCATACCTCTTTTAAAAATGTATTATTATTTAGATATTTTAATAAAACATTTTCATTTAATTTTCTTTTATATTTTTTATGTAATCTTCTGTAATATAATGGTCCATTCTTCCATATTGCTGTAGAAAATTTATCACTTCCATTTATCTTTTTAATTTCAATTAACTCATTATATGGAATCCATTCAATTATTACATTATCATGATCCTTAATTTTTAATTGCATTTTTTGAATGAAATTATCAATTTTCTCATTTCTGCTAGTCCAGTTTATAAAATTATTTTTTAATAGATTTATTTGACATTGTTCACACCACTGTTTACACCATACATGCTCATATTTATTGCCACATTTTTCACAATAATATTCTAAATAATTATAACTGAAAACCAAAATATAAATTTTTGTATCTGGATTTTGTGATATTCCAAAGACTAATTTATTTGCCAAGTAGGATTCAACCTGTCAAATGCAAAAAAAATTAGCACTACATTAATAATTAAATTAAATTTATAGAAATTAAATACCTTATTTAAAAATTCATCAGTAAAATTTTGTAAGTCATATAGAAATTTTAATACAACTTTTTCATATGATTTTCTTATCCATTCCTTTATATTAGTGTCATGATATAAGTGACCATCCTTCCATATTGCTGTAGCAAAATCATTATCTCCATTATTTATCTCTTTAATTCCAATCAACACATTGTATGGTATCCACTCAAATATCACATCATCATATTTATTAACTTTTAATTGCATTTTTTGAATGAAATCATCAATTTTCTCATTTCCACTAGTCCAGCTTGTAATTTCATTTTTTAATTGATTTATTAGACATTGTTTGCACCATTTATAGGAACTATCTTCGTATTTATTACCACATTTTTCACAATAATAATAACTATCACAAACCAAAATATAAACTTTCGTATCCGGATTTTGAGATATTCCAAGTTTATCAGCCTATCAATTTGCAAAAAAAAAGTCAATATTAATGGATATTAATATTCAATCTAAATTCATAGGAAAATTCTAATACCATATTTAAAAGTGTGTCAGTAATATCTTGTGAATTATGTAAATACTTTAAATAAACTTTTTTTTCACAAGATTTTCTTATCCATTTCTTTTCATACGTATTATATGATAATTGACCTTTCTTCCATATTGCAAAAGTCAAATAATTATCCTCTATTTCTTTAATTTCAATAAACTCATTATATGGTATCCACTCAAATATAACATCATCATATTTATTAATTTCTGATTGCATTTTTTGGATAAATTCATCAATTTTTTCATTTCCACTTGTCCAGTTTGCAAAATTACTTTTTAATTGATTTATTTGACATTGTTTACACCACTTTTTTGCGTAATATCCATTACCACATTTTTCACAATAATATTTTAAACAATCACCCCTGGAAACAAAAATATAAACATTTGTATCTGGATTTTGAGATATTCCATAATTTAGAGAGTTTCCATATTCATCTTCTGATAAATATGATTTAGCCTATTAAATATAAAAAAATCAACATTTTATTATAAATATTTAAACTAAATTTATAGAAAAATTACATACCTTATTTGAAAATTCGTCAGTAATAATCTCTAAATCATATAAAAATCTTAATACAACTTTTTCATATGATGATTCTTTTTTCAATTTCTTTTCAAAGTATTTGTCATAACTTGATGGACCATTCTTCCATATTGCTGTAGTCAAACAATTATCTCCTCTTTCTTCAATATAAATAAATTCCCTATATGGTATCCATTCAAATATTGTTTTACGATATTCGCATTTTAATTGCTTTTCTTGAATGTAATTATCAATTATTTCATTTCCACTGGTCCAATTTATAAAATTAGCTTTTAAAAAATTTACTTCACATTGTCCGCACCATCTAATGTAATTATTACATTTTTCACAATGATCATAATAATTAATATTATAAACTAAAATATAATCTTCTGTATCTGGATTTTGAGATATTCCATAACAATTATATGTTAAACGTGATTCAACCTACAAAAATACAAAATAATTAAAACTACATTAATGTTCAACTAAATTAATCAATAATAGAAAATTTCAATACCTTTTTTTTAAATTCGTCAGTATTATATGGATTACATAAAAATCTTAACACGACATTTACATGTGATTCTCTTATCCATTTCTTTTCATCTTTACTATAATATAATGAACCATTCTTCAATATTGCTGTAGTTAAACGATTATCTTCTATTTCTTTAATGTCAATAAGCTCATTATATGGTATCCATCCAAATACTGCGCCATGTCCATCGTATTCTGATTGGTTTTCTTGAATGTAATCATCAATTATTTCATTCCCGCTGGTCCAATTTATAAAATTTCCCTCAATAATTTCTTTCCCGATAGTCAAATCTCCACAATCTGCGAAGTCTAAATCCATTGAAAATTGAAATTTTTTGGACGAAAAAAAAAAAATTCCTCGATTTAAAAGTGGTCGTAAAAAATAGTACAATAAAATTAAATTTGGTTAACAAAGAAGATATGACGTAATGAATGTTGATACCACATTACCACATAAATCTTTTATTGACCGATCATTCCAATTAACGTTAGATTACTTTTATTCAAAGTTACCAAAAAATGGTGAAAAAAAAAATATTTTTTTTTTTTTGACGCCAATCACAGTATCAGTTTACCGATCAACCCAATAAACGTTAGATTATTTTTTTATTTAAGTTACCAAATACGTTAAAGAAAAAAAGAATTGTTGTTATTGTTTCACATTGACAAGAGTCGTTATTCATTATTTACTAGTCATTAAGATTCGTCGCATAACAAAGAATAAAAACATTATTTTTATTTTTATTTTTATAATAAACATCAGAAATTCTACAGTAGACTAAAGCTACAAACTTTAAACCTAATAAATATACCACGTGATATATTTCATCTTATTTTTTTTTTAAATTAGTTTGCGCGAATCAAAAAAAAATTGGTTTTACCCAGTTATGTAAACAAATTATTAATTTTTTTTTATAATTTCTCGCGCAAAGAAAATCAGCTGCACAAAAGAAAAATAGCTTAGAAAAAGGAATTTTACTTCTAGAAGATCTTTCCAATTGTAATTGCCTTATTATTTTTTCCAATAGTTTATTCCAAAAAGAATAACGAACCTTATGCAATACAAGGTCTCCTCAGCCCTTTCGCCAACTTGCATTAAAAATGAATCCAATTTTGGGAATAATATGCTGTCATGTAACTCCAAAATATCATCAATCGAGATTTGCTGTAATTGGTTCACTTCGTTTCATGCTGCGTACTGAAAATGCAATTAAGAAAATTACAATATTTTAAGAAATCGGTCCAGGATACATCGTAATAATTATTTTAATTATTTTACTACCAGTCCGGGCTGGGACCGATTATACAAAATTTTTCATCAAATAAAATGATAAACAAATTACCTATTATTAATAAAGTTTTCAAGTACGAGAAATAAAAAAATTGATGTCAATCAATTAAAATTGATTTATCCGGAGCGACAATATATGTCTACGAACTAGTGGCTTGCGAACAGGGCCCGGAACCTGAAAACCCGGATCCGGCAAACTTTCCTTCAAAATTCACTCGACCGGGCACATGATTTTTCGTTGATTTTCGTAATTCTGGCCTAAATCGTCTTAATTCCGGCCGAAATTAAACTGACCAAAATTAAGTTGGCCGATTTTTTTTGTTTTACAACAAATTAATATAATAATAGTCCGGGCCGGCGGGCGGGCACTTTAGGTTAATTTCCAAGTGCGGGCAGATCTCCATTACGCACTATGAAAAAAAAAATCGATCTTGTAGAATTTCTCTGTCCGCCACGTGATCGTCGCCCAATGAAATTGTAAATTTTAGTTTTTCGCTCTGGACTTACAGTTCCCGTTTCCTAGTGTTAGTTTTATTATCGTTACGATAGTTTTACAATTCTTTTTAATATTTCAATAAATATATGAGGTTTTAAATTTTGCAAAAAACGACCAGCAATTTTATTCTTAAATTTTGAGATTTCACTTGAATCATACTTTGATTACAATGAAAACAAAGGTAATAAATAATAATTAATGTCAAAATTTTAGTGCGACCTGTATTTCGTTGTGTTGCTGATCAATTATCATTATCCCAACAATATACGACATTATAAAATTTGAAATCATTAAGGACCATAGTTAAAAGTTTGGTTAATAGACCGGTCCATCTATCCGAAAGACCGGTCTTTTTAGGACCGAACTGGACCGGACGGGACCGATCCAACCGATCCAACCCTAGTATGAACGCCATACATTGTTATCAATTTCAATATTCGTGGATATTCAGATAATTCAATTAATTCAATAAATCTGATACACGTTCTTTATTATTTATAAAGAATGATACATTTAATTTATTAAGTTACACAGAGAACACGACCAATATTGTACAAATAAATAGAAATACATAAATAGATAGGAATACAAATAAATAGAAATATATTAATAATAGAAATTTTCTTGAATGTAATCATCAATTACTTTATTCCCGCTGGTCCAATTTATAAAATTTCCTTCAATAATTTCTTTCCCGATAGTCAAACCTCCACAATCTGCAAAGTCTAATTCCATTGAAAATTGAAATCTTTTGGGTCGTAAAAAATAGTACAATAAAACTAAATTTGGTTAACAAAGAAAATATGACGTAATGAATGTTGATACCACATAAATCTTTTATTGACCGATCATTCCAATTAACGTTAGATTATTTTTATTCAAAGTTACCAATTTAAAAATATAATGGTGTAGTTGGCCGAAAAATAATTTGCCGCAACGTGATCCGGACCGGCTCAAAAGTGGCTCAGGTGTAGATCGTCGTGGAATTCCAGGGGATTTTCTGCGATTGAACCGGGTCCGGATGATCGGTAATCAGGAATTCTGCTCCGTTTTTCGGCTAGCTGCACCATTATCCAAAAATGAAGAAAAAAAAATATTTTGACGCCTCGATCATCCCAATAAACGTTAGATTATTTTTATTTAAGTTACCAAATACGTTAAAGAAAAAAAAAATTGTTGTTATTGTTTCACATTGACAAGAGTCATTATTCTTTATTTACTAGTCATTAAGACTCGTTGCATAACAAAAAATAAAATCATATTATTTTTATTTTTATTTTTATAATAAACATCAGAAATTCTACAGTAATACATTAAGTAGACTAAAGCTACAAACTTTAAACCTAATAAATATACCACGTGATATATTTTATTTAAATTAGATTGCGCGAAACAAAAAGTTGGTTTTACCCAGTTATGTAATCAAATTTATTGATTTTTTTTTTATTTCTTTGTGAAAGGCGCGAATCAAAAAGTTGGTTTTACCCAGTTATGTAATCAAATTTATTGATTTTTTTTTTTATTTCTTTGTGAAAGGCGCAAAGAAAATCAGCTACACAAAGAAAAATAGCTTAGAAAAAGGAATTCTACTTCTAGAAGTTCAATTGTAATTGCCTTATTATTTTTTCCAATAGTTTATTCCAAAAGAATAATGAACCTTATGCAATGCAAGACCTTCTTACCCTTTCGCCAGATTGCATTAAAAATAAACCCAATTTTGGAATATGCCATCACGTAACTCAAGAATATCGCCATCGAGATTTGCTGTGATTGGTTCGCTTCATTTTATGCTGCGTACCGGAAATGCAATTAAGAAACTTACAATATTTTCAAGAAATCCCTGATCTTCGGTCCAGGATACAGCGTAATAATCATTTAATTGTTCTATTACCAGTCCGGGTTGGAACCGATTATACAAAATTTTTCATCAAATAAAATGATAAGCAAATTACTATTTTTGATATTTGTAATTTCAATATCATTCAATTCCTTACATGCTTTAAATCAATTTCATGCACCCTTAGAGGCTGCAAACGGGACCCGGATCCGGGTTTGGACTGGCACATGATTTTTCGTTTAAACCCGGATTTTCGTAATTCTGGCCAAAACCGTCTTAATTCCAGCCGAAATTAAACTAACCAAAATTAAGTTGGCCGATTTTTGCTTTGCAATAAATTAATATTATAATAGTCCGGGCTGGGTCGGGCGGGCACTTTAGGTTAATTTCCAAGTACGGGCTAGTCCGGGTTGTAAAAATAGGGGTCAACAACGCACTATGAAAAAAAATCGACCCCGTGAATTTCTCTGTCCGCCACGTGATCATCGCCAATGAAATCGTAAATTTAGTTTTTCGCTCTGGACTTACAACGGTTCCCGTTTCCTAGTGTTAGTTTTATTATCGTTACGATAGTTTTACAATTCTTTTTAATATTTCAATAAATATATGAGGTTTTAAATTTTGCAAAAAAACGACCAGCAATTTTATTCTTAAATTTTGAGATTTCACTTGAATCATCCCTATAAAAAATTTTTATCCGAATATTTCCATTATTTCTCCGTGTCTTCCGTAAAAATTCCGTGAAAATGATACATTCACGGATATCTGTGTTAGCGAGATGAAAATTTCCATGATTTAAGGCTATTAATTCCATGAAAATGATACATTCACGGAAAAAACATGGAAAGATAAAACACGGATCAGATTTTTTACAGGGCATACTTTGATTACAATGAAAACAAAGGTAATAAATAATAATTAATGTCAAAATTTTAGTGCGACCTGTATTTCATTGTCTTGCTGATCAATGATCATTATCCCAACAATATACGACATTATAAAATTTGAAATCATTAAGGACCATAATTAAAAGTTTGGTTAAAAGACCGGTTCATCTATCTGGAAGACCGTTCTTTTTAGGACTAAACTGGACCGGATGTGACCGATCCAAACGATCCAACCCTAGTGTGAACGCCATACATTATTATCAATTTCAATATTCGTGGATATTCAGATAATTCAGTCAATTCAATAAATCTGATACACGTTCTTTATTATTTATAAAGAATGATATATTTAATTTATTAAGATACACAGAGTACACGACCAATATTGTACAAATAAATAGAAATACACAAATAGATAGAAATACAAATAAATAAAAATATATAAATAATAGAAATAAATGAATAAATACATTTAATTTAAACTATACATTTTAGGTAAAATATCAATAACTAATTATTTAATTTCAAATTTTCCATATAAGAAATTAAATTTTTATCTACAGTATAGTGATAATAAAAGAAATTGCTTATTAAATAATAAAAATTAGCCAACAAAATAATTTTTTTTAAGAAAAATACTGACCTTGATTTGGATCAAAATATGCATATTTGAAATTACCTTTTGATATCTTATTTTTACAAATACAATCATTATTTCTGCAATTAGTGATTTTAAAGTATTTTATTTTAATTCCATCAAGTTCATTAGATTTTTGTTTTAGTAAAACTGGGTCGCAATTATTTTCTTTTGTAGAATACAAACTAATAAATTTTGGTTTTAAGGAATCACGCTTAGTTAAGAACTTATTAATAAATTTAGTATGATTTAAAGATGACATCCCAGTATAATTAGAACTATAATTCATGATGACAAATGTGTAAAAAGTAAAATCAGGTAAATAAACGAAATGATTTTTTTTCAAACAATAAGAAAATGTGTATAATCCAGTTCTTTTATTTTCATCATTTCCAAAATTATAAAATTGATGTCCTATTACAAGAGAGTTATTTGAATCATCCAATTTTCTTAATACAGGAATTCCAAAACAATGAGTTGAATCTGATTCTAATGGATACTTTTGAGTTTGATTCTTTGATGCACTATAATCGTGTCTTTCAACCTTAATTTGAATATTAAAATCTGGGCGATCAAAGTTAAAATTTAAATCATAACCAATAATCATTAACATGATTTTCAAATTACATTTACGTTCTTTAAATTTTTTTTGAATACAATGAATTATAAGTTTTGGTTCTTGATTTGGTGGCCAAAAGATCTGACAGTTAAAAATATCATTATTCGCTTTCTTTTTATCAACAACCGTTGCAAAAATACTACAATCTGCATTTTTATCTTGAAGAATTTCTAAAATATCTTTTGATACGTTTTTTAATTCTAAAATTTTATGACTTCCAGGTTTAAGTAATTTATATTCATAACTTTCTGTACTTAAATAAAGAATTTTCTTTCCAACCAATGATAAGATTTCCTCACGTAAATTTTCAGGTAAATGATAAAAAATGCTAGTTGGATTTTTAATTTTTATGCAATCCCAATTTCTAAATTCTTCCAAAGATTCACGCCATTCTGTTTCATTAAAATCTTTAGATATAAATTTCTTTCCTCCAATTAATTTAAAGTTTGTATATCTTGTACAATTTTTACTAGAATCACCTGTATTTGTATCAACAAAATAAGCTCTTGCCCCCAGAATAACTTCTTCTTTTGGAACGAATTTACCAAATTCTTCTGTAATCTTTCTAAATTTTCTAGGATCTTTAGACTCTATAGCATCTACTACAGCTTTGACGAATTCTGGATCAGGTTCTATTTTGAATTTTAAGGATACTTTGCTATATTCAATGACAGTACAAGTTGAATTACTAGTTCTTTTATTTGTATCAATATCTTCAAATAAAAAGATATCTTTTTCCATAAATTGCCCTTCCTTTAAATCAATTTTAGTATATTTGTGTTCATCAGCAATTTCAGTTATATCGTAATCCTTTATTTTAAATGCTTTCTTATTAGCTCTGTCTAAAGATATAGTACGTCCATACTCAAGTTTTAGTTTGTTTATCAAAAATTGGTAATCAGGTTTTATTAAATATAAAGTATTACTTTTTGTATCAATAATTTCTTTTAAAATAATCTTCTCTTCGTCCTCTCTTGATATTTCAGCCATTGAACTGTTTGCAAATGATAATGTATCATTCATTTTGACATTACTTTGTTTGAGTTTTTCACGAATACTTGATAACTTATCTTTAAGATTAAAATTTACATTTGATGAAGAATAATCATTTAAGTTAGGTAGTGATACAATCTTAACTGTTATGTCTGACCTTACTGAATTTTTTCTTAAATATAAAATTTTATTTTCTGTATCCATAATTTCTGCCAAAATTATCTTATCTTCTTCTTCTCTTGCTATGAGCGCATAATTTTGGTTGTTGCTTTTAGCAAATAATAATGCATCATCCATTTTAATCATACTGTGATGTTCAAGTTTTCCCCGAATACTTGATAATTTATCCTTAAGATTTAAATGAACTAATTGTTGTGAATTATCATCACCTATTTGAACTGTTATGTCAATATCATCTCGTATAGATACGGTCCTATTTTGAGAACTATCCTTGAGTTCATCGCAACCTGATTTTATTGTAAAGCTGTTTCCTGAATTTATATTCGTTTTTGAGTTTTGAATAATTTCGGCATGTTCAAGTGATGATTGGTCATTTATGAAATTAATATCATTTGAGTTTGGATTGGTACTATTAATAATTTTTCTCAATCTTTCCACTACTTGTTTTGTAGTTGGTCGATTACTTGGATCATTATCCCAACATTCTAAAGAATTATTTAGTTAATATCAAATATATAATTAGAGAAATAAAGTATATATGTTATTCTAAAAAAAGAAAAGTTATAATTACCAGTATATAGATTAGAATAATAATTTGGGGTATCCGGAACAATATTTTCTCTAAGACCTTGCGAGATTTGCAGAGCCAAACTAAAGTCATATGATAAATTAGAAAACGGTTTTTGACCACTGGATATCTCCCACAAAAGCACACCAATACTGTAAACATCACTCTTTTCATTTAAAGTGTATTGTTGTTTAATAATAGATTGTGGATCAATATAAGGAATTACACTTTTTGATTGAGATTTAGATATTGTTTCCATTTTTTTTGATAATCCAAAATCAGCTAGTTTAATTTTATTTTGGTGTACTAATACATTTCCAGAATGCTATTAATAATAAATAACAAGTTGAAAATGTATTCTTATAAATGTTAAAATCAATAAATAGTTATATATTATACAAATTACCAAACCACAATGTACAATTTCTTCTTCATGTAAAAATGATACGCCGCAAGCCAACTGATATGCTAAATCGTATTTACTATTCCAAGTAAGCTTATTGAATTCTTTCTTCAAATAATCCTGAAGTGTACCGCCATTGGCATATTCCATTACAAGCAAAATATTTTCTGATGGCCCCGGATTCTCTGAAATTTTTTCATTATTATAAGAGACAAAATAACATAAACAACAAAAATAATTAATTTATTTGTACCTGATGGAAATTTTGTAATCCCATAGCAACGAATAACATTTTTATGATCTCGTTCAAGTTTAATCTTAAATAGAAAATATAAAATGTGAATAAGAAACATAAAAGGTAAATATTAATTAGTAATTTATAATTTATATTTACTTCATGAATAATTTCTTTTAAAATATCATTGTTAAGATTATAAAAAGATTTCAATGCTAAACGTTGTTCTAAACCATTTTTCCAATCTGCACGATAAACTTTTCCAAATCCTCCTATACCAATTTGTTCAATATGACTAAATTTTTTATAATCATAATAATTTAAATGTTCCTCTTTAATAACTTTTTCAATATTATATAATGAAAGGTCGCTTATTTGAATCAAATGATTTTCAGCCATGTTTAAAATGCTTGAAGGAAAAAAAAAATTATATGGCTTATATCTTTGAGATCATATGATCATGCAATCAATATTCAGTGTAACATTATGAAAATTTTATTTCATCCGATAAACAATTGCTAATTTAACGTCGTACAGAATTTTAAGTGCGAATAACAAAGTTACGCCCAAATTTCTCCATTTCTCTTCTGAATCATATATACAGTAAATATATGAAGTTTTCTATGGCTAATTTTTTAAAAAAAAAATTTTGAAATATTACTATTATAATAAATATATTTCTTTTAATAAATTTGAAACACGCCGATCTGCATAATTGGAAACATTTAATTTTTTATTTATTCCTGAAGTAGTTTAATAATCTGCACAATGATCGGCGATTACACCTTTACATAAAATACCACCAAATAAGTTTATATACAGTCCGTGAAAATTACGTCAAATGCACGACTTCAAAATAATCACCTGAGACATAGTGCCACAACACTAGATGAGAATAAAGTAGATAGGGGGGATACTATATATGCCTTTTTAGTAAAATTAATTTATAAAAGGCATAAAAAAAGGGAGCTTGAGATTTCACGCTTAAATTAATATTAAATTAACAGATAAAATTCCTTACACAGGATAATTTTTCAGCTACAAAAAATCAAAGCTAGACGAAAAAAATTGATGAATTGGAACGAATTTTTGTAGAAACAGGTGATAAAATGGAATAGGAAGTTTTGGTAGTTGCTGCGGCAAATAAAGTGTGTAAAAAGCTAGGCGTTAGCGTGTCAGATACGAGTCCAGGAGCGTTAGAAAAGACGCAAGAAAATTATAAATTAATTGGTATAGCAGAAAAACATGAAGTTATACAAAAGTATACTAGAATTTCACCAAAAGGTTTAGAACCGAAGAGAGGTTTTAATAAGTGAGAGTGAAAGAAGATTACAGAGTAGTCTAACGAATAAGGTAGTGAAGAAAAAACGGAGAGTTGAAAGGAAATGAGGAATGGGTTAGTTATAGGTAAATGAGTCACGTGAATTCACGAAAAAAAAATTTTTTTCCAAATCAAAAATATTAATACATTTGTCTAGTTAGTTTAGTTATTCATATTTTATTTTAGTTGTTTTGGGATATAGGTTATATATAGATTTACAATGATAATTTTGTCTCGGGATAGATAATAAATGTTTAGGTTTATTTGTATTAACGTAGACTATTATCCTGGGGTTTTTTTTAAAAAAAAATATTATGTTACTATATCAGATATTTCACCTATAATTATTAATATCATCCTGGGTACTAGATTTACTCTATATTACATCAGAAATTTCATTTGTTTCCAATATTATACTGTAAATCAAAATTATGAACATTTTTGAATTATCCACAGCGTAAAAGCTTGGGCATGTGATTTTTGAGCATGTGATTTTGTTATATACGGCGCAGTTATAGATAAATACATTTTAATCTATTATTTCTGTTATTTAAACTTTCTTTTCATGCCTCCTCCCCTACCCCGATCTGAAATCTCCTTCGGTTCTAGTACGCCTCCCCGCATTGAAGCCCGTGATCAAGAAGTCCAATCAAGGAATATAAAATTATTTTTAAAATGAAAGTTGGCTTGTTTTCTTTATAACGGAATTCTATTTGAAAGACGCCTTAAAAACATTATTTGAATTTACAGAACAAAATGTATAATTCAAAACTTGCAGGAAATATGAAAACCTGCAGAAAATTGCACACTACAAATAACCATTTTGTGATTTTTTCAGCATCTAGTAGTTCAATTTTGATGAACTTTTTTTACTAATAACACTTATTATATATACCATTGTAAATTATCTTCTTTAGTTTTTAATACAGATTGAATTAATTTATTATTTAAATCAACATTACATTTTATTTTAATAAAATAATAACTTAGTTTCTGTTTAATAGTTTCAGTTTAAATTAATTGTTTTATAAGTTAAAAAATCTATATAATGACGTTTTAGGGTTGCTTAGGATTAGGGTAAGCATAGGATTAGGATAAGGATTAGGAAGGTTGGTTTGAGCTGAAAGATTAACCTTAAAGTTAACGTTATATTGGAGTTGCTTAGGGTTAGATAAGGAATGGAATGTTTAGGGTGATAAATGAAATAACTGGAATTCAACTATCATAAATTTTATAAATCGCTTGTTCGAGTTTTTTTCGATAGTTACGCCGGGAGAGTTGAATTATCCTTGAGATCCTAGGTGGCCAGGTTTTCCTGACATTTCTCATTCCTTGGAGTTATAGAGTTCAAACTATCACGATTAATATTATTCTATTTTTGGCAATAATATGGTCCTACCCAGAAAATTTGCTTCTTGCAAAAATAAAGAACATAATTTTTACATACAGTCTGTCAAAAAATAAGAATTTTATAAAGAATTATCATATAATTCAATTGGAAAACTTTTTCCAACTTAGCATCATTCCGGAAGTTCTGTGGATAAACGTGACCTAAAACATTATGTAAGTCTTTCACATCGGTCATAGTAGGTATGTTAATAAAAACCTTTAAGATGTTCACTTTTTTACTTAGAAGCAGAAGTTATTACACGAACATATACTTTCATCATACAAATATTGTTCAACTCAGATGAAAAAATGCAAGGTGCTGACCTCAAATGGAAATTATAACGAAGTTCACAGATAAAGACAGAATTATGGAAATTGGTCTTCTCAAGAATCTCCACATAAGCTAAAAGCCTATCAGGTAAAACGAGCAAACAAAGAAGGCTTGATCAATCATGTACTTGCCAACAAACAAAAATCTTCGAAAATTAAAACAAATCAAGTCTATAATTACGATTGTTAGATAATTAATTCCAGAAAAATTAATAACCGTTTATTCAAATCTCAGTCGATTAGGGCAGATATGCATCTGTATCTAATACCAAAAGTGATGAATTATTTCAAAAAGGAATTTCAACATAGTACTCACAGAAAATGAACGTATATTTTTAGTAAGATGGATCTCATATTCATCTAGCTCCGCGCGAATGCGTCAGCAGTATACGTGGAAGTTAACCAAGGAAGTAAAGGTCCTTCTACAAAAGAAGGAGAAACAGATAGAATGATAGAAGCAAAAAAATATAGGGTGTATTCTGTAAAATCATAAGGATATTTAATAATTTAATGGACAGAGCTTATTAATAAATAGATATTGATGAAGATAAATAGGAACTCTAAATATTTATATAGAGGTCAGGGGATGGCAAAATTTTATAATAAGCAATAAAATTTACTGTTTTTGCAGGTTTTTGAAAAAATTTATTTTTTTATTTTACAATTATACAATAATTCGAAAATGGCGATAAATTCCCCGACTTTAATATCGGCTATACTAATTTTCGCCCCAGGTTCCCATTGGATCCGATGTGGAATTAGCTCGGGTTCCATGTAATGACGGCAGAAGACATGGGTCCGGATGATTATTCCAGATGTTGATCAATCGAACCCGGTTCATCAATGGAACTAGGGGCCAAAATTAGTATAGTCCTTTGGTGATAAAACGCAATACTTTATTAATCATATAATAAAGTAAAACCGGGGTTCATTGGAAAGTATGAAGGCGTGGTATTGAGGGAGAATGTGACTTTTTTTTAGTTATACTGTATCTATATATTTTTGATCTTTTGCTGATTACCTTAATTTTTTTTATATTACGTGTTGAAACTGTTCTCTATTGTCTCTATCACTTTCCTGTTAACGCGTTTCTTACTATCTTTTTGATTAACTTCTGCTTTAACAGGTTTTTGTAATCTACTGTTAAAAGATGCGTTCATCGTATTTACTTCTTGTACTGGTTTGATTTTCTTCATCTTCACTTGGATGTGTGATCTTCACCATAATTATATTCTCTACTCTTTTCCGTTCACTTTTTCTTGTATCGATGAAACCTTTTTCCTTAACTGTTAATTCCGTTTTGAATTCGTCGAACTTATAGACCGCAAACATTAATTGTTTTATTATCGTAAATTATACTATTAGTAAAATTAATAAAATGCAAAAAAAGACATTGACATTTTTCAACGACAAAAATGATGATAAGTTGGAAATATCGCAGAGATCATCTGTATTAAAATACCCAATTAAAATACGCAAATAAATAACATGACTTTAGTTAAAAAATTCATAGATTGTACGCAAATCAAAATTACCTCGTAAAAAATTGCTATGACGACGAGCAATAATGTACCCTACCTCTCTATATATATTCCGGGAACCTAGATAAATATCCATCAAACAAGATGGTATTTGTGATGATTACAGGCTAAATCGATTGGCGTGATGACTGATGACGAAGGACGTAAAGGAGAAGCGTTAGTAACGATCCCATAGGTTTTGAAAAGAATTTCAGTTGATCCACAAATTTTGATTCAAGTTAATAATATACAGAAAGATTTAAAATAGGAGGAAAGGATTTAATAAAAATTTTAGAATAATTAGGCAACGCGTTAGATGAGTTAGATCAGTATATTTTTTGCATAGATCGCATACTGCTGTTATTGAAATGTAGTATCAAATTATACTTTTTTTGAGTTGCACGGTTACTTAATAACACTAACGAAAAGTATGAGCGAATATTACCGTATAGCGTTGCATCGGGAATAACTTTGGTCAAAAAGAGTTTACCTTTTTATACATAAAATTCGTTTAACAAAGGAAAACATTACATAAAATTATGTGAATTATGAAAAGATACTAAAAATGTACTACTGTAACAAATTGTACTATGTAAAAAACTATTTCAAATATTTATTTCCTGCAATAGTTAGTGTAATAATGTAACATAGAATGGTTTAACGAGTTGTTAAGTTATTGAAGTGTCCTACGGGTAGGTCGGTGGGTTACTCGATACCAAATTAAATTTAATAGGTGAAAATAATTTGTATTTTGCTAAAGGATGCGACTGACTAATATTTCTTATTGCCAATTTTAAAGATGTATTCTAAATCTTTTTGTTAATCTGCATAAGACTTGATTTATCAATTATAAAACTAAAATCTTTTCCTTAAAATAGATAATAACAGGGTCTCAAACTTTTGAAAATTAAATGATGGCCCTTCCCAATTCAATAAGTTGCAATACATTTATAATTTAAAATTTACGTATATAACATTTTCTAATAAAGAAATGCGTATTACTAGGAAAAAAAAAATTTATATGTTATTTTCTTTTTAAATAAAAATAGATTGTTCCTTAATAAATGATATAAATATTTAAACTTTTAATGATTTGATCACGTAAGATAATGACAAAAAAATGAAATCAGCGCTTTATTTATTTTAATTATTTTATATCCAAGAATAAAGGAAAAACCAAAACTACGGACACTATACTGCCATTCACCCTAGAGCAAACCATCCTTCGGAAATAAATGAAATGGGCGACCTATAAACAGAGAACTATGTCGCTGCTATAAATCTATTTACGAATGATGAACTAAACTATGGGGCTGAAAAGAATTGGAAGAAGAAAAATAAAAATAAAAAGGAACCACGTATCCAAAATTGAAAATGCGCAAAAGATGATGCAATAGCGTTGTTTCGGACTTTCGGGAGAATAGTATACCAGATACGAAATTGTGGCGAATGCGATTACGTGAAATATTACGTAGTGACGTTCGTTGAGAGATACGAGAGGTAGAGTGTGATTCGAAATCCTTGTTTGTTAGGTTGTATAGTCGTGTTCATTGAACATATCACAGTGAAGTTTCAAATTTTGTTGGTATAAATTCGCCGTGAATGTCAATAAGAAAGGTAAGAGTATATTGAGTGACGAGTTTATATGCATGGTGAAAATTCCAATAAGGACTTCCCTCTTCCTCTTACGGGACCAAATTGTGAAACAGGCGGAATAATGGGTGTTGTTCGTTAGTTGTAGTTGTATCAGAGGTATGATCTCGAGTCCAGTTGAAAAGTGCGTTCTACTGAATCTTTAACGATCGATTGCAATTTGTCGCAGTTTGAGTAAGAGTTGCAGTGAGAATGTTATGTGTTTGATGCAAATGTTTTTTAACCAACTATCTTGGGACAAGTCCATGGATATTTGTTGGTATCTATGAGTTCATTGCAGTGAAATATTTTAGACCTTCTGGAATGAGGGACGGATAATTTCTATGTATAATGTCAGTAATAGGTAAAAGTTCTGTTAATGATTTAATGTGATAACTAATCAATTTGAATAATTTGAGTGAAAAACGACGTGAATATGGGTTAAAGTTGATCTATTCTTTGATCCATCTCCAGTTGATTTCGTCCTTGATATTTTGGAATGTTGCAGGAACTTGTTAAATCGAATGTTTTGGAAGATTTTTCTGACCGTTTTGCGAACATCGCGGTCAATTAGAATGGGTTGGGCCCAAGTGATGTTCGTGGTAATCAATGTGCTGTTACGTGAGTTGATGTTAAGGTAATTTTGGAAAGAGAGTCCAATTTTTGCTTGTTCATCACCCGCTTCGTTAAGACGAAACCGGAGTGCGCTTTAACCTTCTTTATGTAGGGTTCCGATAACGTTTGAGTTTTGATAAGGTACGAGATCGCGCACCAAATTAAACAATTGTTTGATTTTTAAGGAGCTCCGAGGCGTCATTTGTAGAGTTAAATGAATTAAATTAGTTGATACAACATTGTGAATCAGTATATATGTCGATCTCAGTGTTTAGGGCATACTGCAAAGGCTATACAAATTGCCAACGCTTCCGCTTTGGTAGAAGATGGAAATTGTCTCGAAGAAGCATCAAAAGTTAAAGTTGGAGTTGGTAGTTAATCTATTACCCATCCAAAGCCCATTTGAGTCGTTAATATTAGTGAGTTGTATTATGTTTTTTGTGATAATAAAAGGGCTTACATAAATCAAACTTTTTTAATGAAATCCTCCAATGACAGAAAATCACGTGATAATTTGGTACATTTTTTATACTTATTGACTTGGCAAGAAATTAAAACAACAACTTCAAAGGAAAGGCTACGACTGGTTCCGTACTCTTAAACAAAAAGATTACCCTGTCCAAAATTTAAACCACAAATCGAAAAAATCGGAAAAATCATAGCTCAGGAATCGTCATCATCAATCCTATTACATATAGAGAACATTACAACATACCTCCAAGTGACTTGACTTCACCCTTTTACTTAGGAAAAAAAACCTTTCTGTAGATTAAAACACCTTAGTTACAACGTTTATCTACATTAACATTCCTACAAATCACATAACTATGACTCTCATCTCAATAGATTCCAAATTCTTCAATATATTAATAATTTAATAACCATAGGTAAACGTTTTGCTGCATATGATCAATTTATTTTTATACTGATGGCTCAGTACAAGCTCTAAGTACCAATGAATGTAGAATGTGTTTCGGTTAAATTCAACTGGTATCCAAGCACCAAAAGAAATATTAAAGGCACGGCAATTTTCTACCATCATCAACCAAGGCGGAAACTACGGATATACTGTATGTCCAACACTATTAACGGTCCCGTACAATATTCTACAATACTATTAATTCACCAATGCTCAGCATACGAAGAAAATTTAAAAAGAACTTTCTGAACTGGGATTTAATCTACTATCTAGTTACAGAAAAGAATTTATTACTTTACTTTACGCAAGGTTAAAGATCGCTCCAACAATGAATACAGCGACGCGGCTGTAAATTATCTAAACAAGGACGTCAATCACAGACTCTTTTCGTCTTCTTTAGGATTTGTTGCATGAAATCACATCAACATAATCGACCAAAATATCAGAAAATGGGCAAATACCAATTCAAGCCAAAATTTTCAACAAGTCTCGTCAATAATTCTGCATTACATCCAATCCACGACTCCATCAAATCAGGTCGCATATACTGACATTTCACCCAAATTAGGATTAAACTATCTAAGCGCTCGGACAAGAAAAATAATTACACATATCCAACCGTAAATTATCCAAGATTATATCCATCATGGCCAATACTGTGCCCGAAATGCTCCTCTTCACCAGATACAAATGCACACGCGAAGATCAATCCTCCAGTTTGATTAATAAAATATCCAAATGTAAAGACACCTCCTCTAGGCCCTCCTCTAGGCAAATAGTGACTTAGCTTTCACTTTTGATATCCATCACGCGAACGCAACATTTAACATTTTCAATTCACTCACGCATCATATTTCGCTTACAAATAATCACCCAATTTCTTAACTCGCTCATAACCTCATTCCTCAAGATAAACCTCACTGTCCTCACATATCTATGTTATAATTATATTGGCAAACTCATATCCGCCATCAATTATTCACCAAATTTATTAAGGAATTCACCAAAGATTTACATCAAACCATTTAGAAGTCTCGCTCTGATAAATTCAAAACATGAGAAAACTATTATCGACAACAACAAAAAAATCCGTCGATCAACTAAACGCAAACAACACACAGGCAAAATTCACGCCCAATTACAACACATAACTACTATAACCTTCGTATAGTATTTAACTAAATTTCGATTAAAATAGCGTCCAAAATCTAAAAAAGATTAAATTAATTAGATAGATTTTATAAAAAAAAACCATAATATGATCATAACGATAAATAAATAAACTTTATAACAACCTATTAAAAATATTTCTTTTCTTCCCTTTCCATTTTAAAAGCTATAAACGTAAAAATTTAATTATTAATGAATTAATAAGCCTAATAAAAAAATTATATAAATATTTTTATATAAATATATAATGTAGTGTCTTAAAATACCGTTTTATTGCTTCCCAAAGTATAAGAATACTTTAGTTAGTGTAGGATTCTAATGTAGTGCCTTTGTTATTCAATGCGATCTATGTATGAATTCAGTGTGATTTAAGCGAGATCTTGAAGTTAAAGAGTAAAAATATTGGTCCATTATTTGACAAAACTTTACAAATACATAGCATATATATGCACTTATTGAAATATTAAAGAAAAAAAGTATAATAGAACTATAAAAAAATTTAGACTCCAAGTATCGAGAGACGAAAATTTTTTTGTATATATTTTTTTTCTGTGTTACGTGATCGACATTAATTTCAACCATTTTGAAAATGGCGATAGCGTTCACGTCTGAATTTATAAACTTAAAAGTAACTGTACTAAAGCGGTTTCGATAACTCATGGTATCCGCCAAGCTTTTGTGCAACATTTAGCAGAATTTTACATATTTATCACAAATACAGTACATATAGTACATTAATTTTAATAATAGTACATTAATTTATTATATTTACAATTAATAATAAATTTTATTATACAAATTTTCCTATCAAACACTAAATGTTATTTAGTTTTCAAATTTTCCATATAGGATATTAAATCTTTTTCTAATAATAATAATAATAATAATATTTAATAATATTTACAATATTAGTATAATAAAATTAACAAAGCAAAATAATTGAAAAAAAAAAAAAAATACCAACCTTGACTTGGATCAAAATATGCATATTTAAAATTATCTTTTGATATCTTATTTTTACTTGCGAAATATTTTATTATAACCCCATTAAGTCCATTAGATTTTTGTTTTAGAAAAATTGGTCCATATTTATTCCAATCATTTTCTTTTGTAGTAGAATACAAACTTATAAATTTTGGTTTTAAGGAATCATGCTTAGTTAAGATATTTTTTATAAATTTACTATGATTAAAAGATGACATCTCAGAACAATTAGAACTATAATCCAGGATGACGAATGTATGAAAAGTAAAATCGGGTAAATGATCATAACAATTATTTTTCGAACAATAAGAATATGTGTACAATCCAGTTCTTTCATTTCCAAAGTTATAAAAATGATGGCCAATTATAAGAGAGTTAGCTGAATCATCCAATTTTCTTAATACAGGAATTCCAAAACAATGAGATGAGTCTGCTGCTAATAGACGTTCCTGAGTTTGATTATCTGATGCATTAAAATTGTGACTTTCAACTTTAAATTGAATATTAAAATCTGGGCGATCAAAATTAAAATTCATATCATAACCGGTAATCATGATCATAATTTTCAATTTACATTTACGTTCTTTAAATTTTTTTTGAATACAATGTATTATAAGTTTTGGTTCTTGATTTGGTGGCCAAAAGATCTGACAATTAAAAATATCATTATTCATTCTGTTTTTATCAACAACCGTTGCAAAGATACTACATTCTGCAACTTCATCTTTAAGAGTTTCTAAAATATCTTTTGGTATGTTTTTTAGTTTTAAATTTTCATGATTTCCGGGTTTGTTTAATTTAAATTCATAAATTTCAGTGCTTAAATAAAGAATTTTTTTTCCAACTAATAAAAAGATTTCCTTGCGCAAATCTTCAGGTAAAAGTTTGAAAATGCTAATTGGATTTTTAATTTTTATGCAATCCCAATTTCTAAATTCTTCTAATGAATTAAGCCATTCCTTTTTATTAAAATCTTTAGAAATAAATTTCTTTCCTCCAATTAATTTAAGATTTGTATACTTTGTACAATTTTTACTGGAATTGCTTGAATTTGTATTAACAAAATAAGCCCTTGCTCCTAGAATAACTTCTTCTTTTGGAACGAATTTACCAAATTCTTCTGTAATCTTTCTAAATTTTCTAGGATCTTTAGACTCTATAGCATCTTTTACAGCTTTGATGAATTCTGGATTGGGTTCCGTTTTGAATTTTAAGGATACTTTACTATATTCAATGACAGTACAAGTTGAATTATTAGTTCTTTTATTTGTATCAATATCTTCAAATAAAAAGATATCTTTTTCCATAAATTGCCCTTCCTTTAAATTAATTTCAGTACATTTGGGTGCATCAGCAATTTCAGTTATATCGTAACCCGTTATTTTAAATGCTTTCTTATTAGCTCTATCTAAAGATATAGTATGGCCGTACTCTAATTTTAATTTGTTTATTAAAAAATCGTAATCAGGTTCAATTAAATATAAAGTATTATTTTCTGCATCAATAATTTCTTTTAAAATAATCTCTTTCTCATCTTCTCTTGCTATTTCAGTCATTGAACTATTTGCAAATGATAATGTATCATTCATTATATCATTATCCTTTTTGAGTTTTTCACGAATATTTGATAATTTGTCATGTAAATTAAGTTCCAATGATGATAGTCTTTCTAGAATTAATTCGTGCGATGCATGTTTCATGATTTTTATTTGAAACATTACATTGCAACCCTCATAATCGTCATGTTTGTTTGATTCTTTTGTAATATTTTCTAAATTTTTATTCACGTTAATGAAGATTGGATTCTCTTTAATTTCTTTTAATTTTTCAACTACTTGTTTAATAGTTGGTCGATTATTTTGTTTATTATTCCAACATTCTAAATAAAGAATTATTAAATAAATGATTAAAGGGAATGAAAGTAAAAAGTCATGATTACCTACTTGTATATAGATTAGAATATTCAATTGGAGTACCTGAAACAATTTCTTCTCTACGGCCTTGTGAAATTTTTTTAGCTAAATTGCAATCATATGATACATCACAGAACGGTCTTTTACCACTTGAGATTTCCCATAAAAGTACACCAATACTGTAAACATCACTTCTTTCATTTAAAGAGAAATTCTTGTCAATAAGTTTTTGTGGATCAATATAAGGAATTGCGTCAAATAATTGCGATTCAGATACCATTTTGATTCTTTTTAATAATCCAAAATTTGCCAATTTAATATTATTTTGATGAACCAACACATTACTAGAATTCTATTATATTACAAAATAAATGAAAGATTATTTTTAACTTTTCAATTATTTGATTCAAAAAATACAAAAAAAAAAAAAATAAATGAAATTTTACCAAGTCACGATGTACAATTTTTTTATTATGCAAAAATGATACAGCGTAAGCCAACTGAAATGCTAATTCGTATTTGTTATTCCAAGTTAATTTATTAAATGTTTGCTTTAGATAATCTTGAAGGGAACCGTTATCGGCATATTCCATTACGAGTAATTTTTCTAAATGAATAAAAGAAGTATTCATTAAATTTCATTTGATTATTTAGTTTTGTATAAAAAGGAAAATCTCAGACGTTACCTGAATTAGAATTTGTAATACCAAGGAAACGAATAATTTTGTCATGAACATCTACTGCTCGTTGAAGATTAATCTTAAAATATAAATAAAGATTAAAATATTTTATTAGTAGGTAAATATAAAGAATATAAAATATATTTTTATTAAATTACCTCCTCGCGAACAATTTCTTCAAAAATATCTTTGTCAAAATTAAGAGATTTTAACACGAAATATTGCTCAGAATTTCTCCTTTCTGCACGGTAGACTTTTCCAAATTTTCCTTCGCCAATTTCTTTAATATTACTAAAATCGCTATAGTTGTAATATAAATGTGGGTCGCACGATTGATATTTTACGTTATTATTTGACATCTTTACAATTTTAAATAGAGAAAGAATTTACGTATAAGGCGGGGATGGGATTAAAGGATTTTGACAATATTGGCGAATCAATAAATATTCAAAATCTCCTCCGTTAAAGTTCCGGAATTGGGGATACGAAATTATGCGATACCAAATCACATCGTTGCACCTATAATATGATACATAACTAAAATAAAATCTGAATGGTCTTTTTTTATGCTGATATTATTACACAAAATCAGCCAAACCTAAATAAAGAAAGTACATAACTTTCAGGGCTAGATTTATTTACAAAAAAAATAAAAAAATAAGGAAATAATACAATTAAATCATAAAATTTCACATTATGATGTATGTCCTACTAAATTTGTTTATTTTTTTTCTTTACAAAGACGCCATTTAAAAAGAATTAACATGAAACAAAAATTGTATTTTAAATTTACATTAATAAATAACTCTTTTTTATTTTATTAATTTAAACAAACAAAAAATTAATTTTCAAATTGACAATTTCAGAAATATCCTTATGGATAATGGTATTATTCCATACATATAAAGATTAAAAAAGTTTTATTTAATCTCCTAAATTATAAAACAGAATAAAGAAAAAAACGCGCACGGTACAATACATATTTTATGTTTTATTTTTAACTTACTCCGTTTTTTAGTTATTTTTATTTCCTTTTTCTTAAGGAAAAAAGGGTAAGAAAAAGGGGAGTATGTAATAATGATCGTACCCCTAAAAGTTCAAACTCGTTTGATAAAATTAGTTGACTTAATCTTTCAGACCTGTTTCATTTAGTTAAAGTACTGAATTATTCTACGGTGAAGTGAAAAGGACAAGTGTACAATATTTTCATGCGAAATTATTATTCTTCATAAATAATCAAATTTGATAATAATTTGATATCTAAGTAGTTCATCTTTATTTAAAAGTCACCGTATATTTAGCCGTGCAAACATGATTTAAAGGTATTTTACTTCAATATTTCAAAATAAATAAATAAATAAAATTCAAACAAATGTTTATTAAAAAATTGCTAATTCGCGGAATCTCACAAAAACATTGTGTTTCTTTGATAATTTTTTTTAAAAAAATTTAATACATCTAATTAATGTCTTGTGAATAATAGTTTTCATATTCCACGCATCAACGCACCAGCGGTAATCTTAATTATAGAAAATTATAAAACAAATTGATATTGACATTTGATTTTACAATTTCTAAACACGGTAACATTCAATCTTCAAATTTAATTTCCGGCCTAGAAAAATCTTTAACCCTTTTATTGTGATTTCGCCAGGTATTCAATATACTTTATATAGTTATTAAAGAAATTCTTTGAATTTTTTGTCACACATATATTTATCAATCGTAGTGGGGCTAAAAGTACTCTCATCAAATGATCAACGCCACGCATGTCTCAATCGTATGGGGCTAAAACTACGCCGATTAAATGATCAACGCTATGCATGTCGTACAGTTGAAAGTCCTTTTCTACCTTTTAAATAAAAAGAAAGTTCTGTAGTACGTAATTGTATTACAGTACGTTTTTCTTTAGAAATCTATTAGTTCCATGGAAATGATGGAATTCATTTCACGAAGAATTATAATTAGATTAATTGTTGTTTTCTATAGTTCCTGTAAATCAGGTTTACTACTATTTTGTCCGAAAGAAAATATTTTAACTTTGAAATTTTAAAGATTTAATATATCAAATATATCATCCGGATTTGAAGAATTAATAACGAATTTTTAGAATTCTTGGTAATAATGAGAAAATTATCGATATCCATGTACTTTTATAATAAAATCATTATTTAAATTAAATTCAAAATCCGAAAAAAAAATTATACCTTACAAAATTCTAGAAAATTCCAAACTTCAACAATTATTAAAAATATTCTAAATGTGGAATTAAAAGAAAAATTAACTTTGTTTATATTTCCTTTTAAATAAAGACCTCCTTGAGTTTCATGTAAATAAAAGTTGTCATAATTATCGTTGTTTCGGACTTTACCTATCGTGTAACAAATTTACGGAGTCTTGGTACACTATTTTTAGATGCTATAGTGTGTATACTAATTAAATAAATAAAACAATTAATACATATAATAATCGATATTATATTCATTCATTTTTTTCGATTACAAATCCTTTCCTTATATGGGAATAAAACAATTTTTATTTGTTGGGAATATTTCCACAAGGAAAAAGTAACGTTAACCAAATGTTACAAATGTTACACGATTTGATTAAAAAGGTTGATTACTAAATAGTTTCCGGAATTTTTATATTAAAAACATTTTATTCTAAAAAAAGTTTAGCGAGAAAAAAAAAATTCCATTAGCTTTCAATTATTTCCAAAATTGTAAATTTTTGAAGGATATATATAATTTTTCATTGTAAATATTTAATATATTTTTTTTTATTATAAATATTATAAACCATTTTTTTTTTTTTATTCTTTTCAATTCTTTTAAACATATATATATAAAAAATCCGGTATAAGTCTTCCTTGATTTGGCAACATTTTACTGTTGATAAATATATTATATGTTCAGTTATAAAATTTTAAGTATTAATTTACTTGGTAAATAAAAATTTTATACACTGTACCCAACTTCGATTTTAACGCACATTATTTTCAACACCTCCCTCATAAACTGCAACTTTTCTTCTTACTTAATTACTTAATTGCATCTGCAATATGTGTAAAAATAATAATTCAGATCCGCCTGTTACAGTCAAAGTAATAAATGACTCTATAAAATTTTCTAAAATTTTAAGTTGGAAAAAGAATTTGTCACAGATTCGTTCAGAACTTGAAGAGAATAATAGTATAATTGATATGGAATTATCATTATTCGTAAAAATTTCAACATCAAAAGATGAAGGTGAGCGTTTAGAAGTAATAGACAGAGATGATGAAAATAAGAGAACGTTAGAAGAAATCATGGATACAAAAAAAAAAGTTTTATATTTACAAAAGTATCCATGGGAAAATTTTAACGAAGACCATAAATTAGAACATGGATACACCATAACTAATAATAATGTACTTATAAAAGCTAATAAGAAGGCGTTTACAATAACGAATTGCGAAATTAAAAAAATTGTGGGAAAACGTACAGAAGATAATCCAAAAACTAAAAAAGAGGACTTTATTGAATATTCAAAAGTATCTTTAAGTTTCAAATTAAAACCAACTGAAGAATTTATTATAAGAGTAAGAAAAGCCTTAGAATCTGATAATATACTTCAGAAATTAAGGGAAATAGTTAAAGATTATGGAGAATTCATCTCAGAAGAAATTATTTTAGGTGGACAAGTCTATTTTGAAGATTCAAGTAAAAATAAATATAAATTATTTGTTGGAGGAGAAAAGCGTGATTACTCATCCTTTAATGAAGTCGAATGGTCAAAACATTTGAACAATTTAAACAATTTGCATTGCATAAAATTAATAAAACCCATTAGTATTTTTCAACTTTTGCCTGATGAATTACGTAAAGGCGTCTTATCTTCAATCGGTGTAAAAATCATTTATACTAAAACTGAAGATTGTAAATATGATTTAAAAGAATCCAGAAAGCGTGTAGAAAATATTCCACAAGATGTTTTAACGATATTTCAAAATGAAGATTCTGAATGTGAGATTTTTGTAGCAGTTATTGATGTAAAAGAGAAAGATTTTTTTAACTGTCGAATCTCTCATCAAGATGGTGAAGATCCAAAACTTATAATACATTGTATTCAAAAAAAATTCAAAATACGTGAATGTAAATTAAAAATTAGATGGATGGTTATTGGTTATGATGTAAATTTTGGACTTAATTCTTCAGATTTTGACGTTCAATTGGAAAAATTTAAAGTACAAAATTGTGATGATCACATTTATAAGCGTTTTCTAGAATTGAAAAGTGATCCTTCAGTACTTTGTTTTGGAATACCCAAATTAAGCAAGTTGGATCGCACAAATGAGTCATTTACTGTCGGTCATCATTTTTTTGACGATCAAAAAAATAAAAAGACTGGATTGTGCACATTTTCTTATTGTTTAAAACAAAAACAAAATGTCAATCTACCTGAATTTACTTTTCATATGTTTATAATAAAATGTAATAATACTTCCTGTAATTACGGGATGGTGCCTTTTAAAAAGAAGATAAGCAATTGGCCTAAAATTTCGATAAATAAGAAGCCGAAATTTATTAGTATATATTCTTCGGGAGAAAATAAGTGTAGTCCGATTTTTCTAAAACAAAAAATTAATGGGATTAAAATTAAATATTTAAAATGCAATAATGAAAATAATATTTCTCAACCAAGATTACATGAATCAGATAATCTACAACATGCGTATTTTCAAACAAACCATGAAGGTCGGATCGGTCGGTATTATTTACTTTTTTTTTTAAATTTATTTTAAAACTTTATTACTAAACAATCATCTATTATTATTAATAGGTAATAATTGGGTTGACAAATTCTGAAGATGAAATAAATAATTTATCAATACAAAATGGAAACAAGATTTACGCTGTATATTTATAAAAATCCTTACATTGTTGGTATTTATATTCTAATTTTTTATGATTTGGAAGCTTTCTTAAAGAAATTAATTGGTAAAACATTGAAACTAACTGAAATTTAATTTTCAATATTTAGAGAAACTTTTAGACTTATACATATATTACCTGTATTAATATAATAAACATTAAAATAATATGTACACAAAAAAAAAAGTATTAAAATCGATATAATAATAGATATATACATTTTTCTATTTTCTGCATCTCATCATATTCATTTACTCTTTCGTCTTCAATATAATAATATAATAATAATATAATATCTTCGATTTTATATCAGACATACGGTTAGGGAAGGAAAAGTTCGGGTAGAGCGATTTGAGTCGTTTCATTCCATTCGGTTTGGTCCAAATCGGTTTTAATAAATTTCACCGATCCGGTTTTTCACTTTGACGGCTCAACTTGGTTTTTTCAATAGCATCAGTTCGGAACCAGAGTCCCTACATATTGTGCACGGATAGCGTGAATTGCGTTCATGCATTCAACAAATTTTCTACACTATCGACGCCAATTGAAAATCAAGAATTATCTAACGTTTCCAATTTGAAAATCCATATACACAAAATTAAAGCACATACATACTGTATGGTCCGAACAATGATGTAGCAGATATCATACCTTGGTTAAAGAGGGCGCGAGGGTTACAATTAAAAACGCCTCTCTAAAACACTTACCTAACGTTTGTACATGGAAAAATAATATTCCTATTGACTAAAACTTACGAAATTTTCTCAAAATACCTACAGACATAATCATTTAACTAACAAGTTAATTAACCTCAAAAGTTTACACCCTGCCATAACAGATTATTTAATGGATCAATTAACTTGCTTTGATCGAATTAGTACCTCCAAAATAATCTCCCACAAATCAAAAACAATCTTCAATTGTGCCAGCCTATAAAATCCAACATTATATACAAACACAAATGTTACTTTTGCAGAATCCAATGAACATTAATATATATGTATTGCACATATATGTGAGTAGTATTTGGTGTATTTTATTTCTATAACAACTCCTCATAGACAAACTTAAGGACGTCTCTAAATGCTTGCCATATCAATTCAACGCATTTCTTAATGCTTCAGATATTCTTAACTGGACCTTGCTTACCAATGAATATTTATTTAATGCTTCACGGTTTTATTTCCAAACAATTAACGTCATTAATCAACAGGATCATCCCAAATTTTCGTAATCCGTTAATATATTGTATAGTCATAATGAAGTTCGATTATGTACGATCGTTTGTATTGTTACTTTGTTCTCCTTGCAATTTCAAATATGTATTCAATCTTTTAGAGTACTTTAGATAGTGCCACGACGTTAGACAAATCATGTTAGTAGATCGAGAGATATATATTCATTCTATTCCAAACTTCTTATTTTACAAAGCTCAATAAAGAAATGCGTGTTACTAATATATATTATAAAAAAAAATTAAATAAAAAAAATAAAAAAAATGTATTCAACCTTCAATGATTTTACATTTGCTAAAGTCTTTTTTCGTATTCTGAGAGCTCACTTTTTTCTATGAGCTCTACTATAGTTATTTTGATCAGTGATCTCTTGATTGTAGGGAATAGGGAGTCAGGTCACTTTGATGAATCTTCACCCTGTAAAAAAAAAAAGTCCGGAAATTGTAGCTAAAAACATCCGGAAAATGTCCGTGTGTCCGGAAAACGTCCAGAAAATTGCAATATTCCGGACACTTTCTGGACGCTGGGTCTGAACCCTCCTGGACATTTTCTGGACATTTTCCGGAAAATGGAAATTTTCCAACGTCCGGAATATTGCAATATTCCGGACATATTCCAGACAAATAAACATTTTCCGGACGTTTTCAGCTACAATTTCCGGACATTCTTTTTTTATAGGGTCATTAATAATCGTACATGCTAAATTTGGTAATCACACAATTAATTTATTTTAACCATTTTAATCACGCGCAATGAAACCAAGAAAAGTGCGATCGGCCCTCAATCATTTCTAATTTTAGTCTGAAAGGCTTTTAGTCCTACCTATAGCAGCTATAAATTGGGGTTTTGTAGACCTTTTTAGCTTTTAAGTCTTTCTCATAACGTGCACATCTAAAATTTTTTTATTTTATTGTAACGTTATATTATAATGAGTGATGATATTATAATCGACATTTCTACTCCGGAAAGTGGAGTAAAAGGTGAACAAATGATTTGCTCTTTAAGTTTGAAATGTGTTGCAACTTGGAACGGAAAAGATGAAAAGATTAGTATTTGGCAGAAATCATCATCGGCCAATGAAGATATAGAATTAAACGTGTTAATTGAGAAATTGTCATCTATCACAAATATTAATTTTCACAAATTGGTCGAGTTAGTTGACATCTCTGATGAAAAATTATTGATTCTTGAATTAGAGAGTGATGATTGTAATCCATACAGAGGTTAGTAATTCAAAATTGATCCCTATAGTTGATAGAAGGTTATTATTTAAACCTTTCTCTTTCCTGTTACGCTAACACATCTTTTTCATTAGTTGTGTATGACTTGAATTATCAACGGTCCCTAATACATAAATACACACCTCATATATTTGTAAAATGGAAATTTTTGGAAAATGGAAATTTGTTAACGATGCATCATGAGCATAGTAATAAATCACGCTTGAAGATTGAACTATACTTTATTGAAAATGGATCATTCAAATTAAAAAGATCATATTTCATCTTGACTAATTATTACGATAATTCTTATTTGTTTTCACAAGGACAACTTATGCATGGATCAAAATATTTACGACAATGGAATGTAATTAATGGTAGTGAAGATTTTGATCATCAATATTATTTGGGTTGCTCAAAATCGGTTCAAGTTTGTTTTAATGAAAGTTTATTGGCGGTTAGAAAGTTGAATAATTCTCTCATAATATACTCCAAAAAAACTGGTATGGCCTTTTTTCAGCGTCTTCAAGTTAAGATAAAGGATATTGGCTTTTGTAAAGAATCTGATTTGTTAATTGTTCAAGAAGATAATGAAAGTAATATAGACGGGTTCAATTACCATTTCATAGATCCTTATTTTGGAAATATACTTTATACACAGCCAATCAAAAGTAAACACAAACAGTTGATAATACATGAAAATGTGATTAGCATTGTTGATAATAGTGTGCAGATTGAAAATATATTCGAAAATACAAAGGAACAACTATACAGAGAGATGTCCACTCACCTTTTGTTATCTATGACCAATAGCGCATCAATTATTCGTGGTTGTAAGGGTGAAACCAAAGAATTTAGCAAGTGTAATGAGTGTGATGAGTATGTCGAAGTCTCTTCAACATTATTAACATGGAAAATTTATAAAAGTGAAAGAAAACTTTCCGCAAATATAAATTCTCAAGAGATCGATTGCATAATCCTTGATGAGAGACTTTCTAATATCTTTTACTTTTATATGTTGCCAAATGATGATATAGTTATACATACAAATCATTATGGGATAATTTTTACTCTTAATAATCAAAATAAAATAGAACTATTATTTTTTTCTCAACTTTCTATTGATGACGAGCACCATTATAGTTATGAGAATGATTCATTTGAAATAATTTTCAATAAATTTACGAATCAACCTATTATCATAGAAATGATTGTAAATTACCTCGACGATATCACAAAATTTACCTTATACGCTTCATATATTTTGCAAGCTGCAATTAAATGTCGCAAAGGTGATATAATTGATCACATCATTGAAAAATGTATAGATCATTATAATAAAAATCCAGAAAATATTCATTTATTCAAAATTGTAACTAACCATATTTCAGAAATTCGAAAATATAATCATTATTATGTAAAAAAGTTTTTCAATTATACTACTTTAATTAAGGCTCCTCAAAAAATTCAATGCGAAGAAGTTACTGGACAAAGAAAATTTTTTTTACCTATATTTATACTTTTCGAATATCATCATCTTTATGGATTTACTCATGATACTGATGCTAATTCTTATTTGCTTAAATCAACATTTTTTCTAAATATTATTCGTTCATTAAGAGATAATTCATATTCTTTATACAATTATTTATTAAAGCCATTTTCTAAAAAACGATCAGCTATTAAATTATATATTCCTTTACCACAATTTGCATCTTACAATACAAATTATAATCCTGTCAAAGAATTCTTTTTGGGACCCGAAAAAAATGAATTTTTAAAGTTAAAAGATTCTCATTTTTATTCAGATTGGAATGGAGAAGCTCTGCTTAATTTTAAATGGAAAAAGTTTGGAAGATTTTATTATTATATAAACTGGCTTGTGTACATTGCCTTTCTCATAACATTTTCCCTGGCGATACATGGAAATTTTCAAAAAGTCTTTTTTATAATTTCTGCTATTCTGGGATTTTTTCAATTACTATTTTTTGAAGTTCGCCAATTTTTGTGGAATATGAAGAAATATTTTTTTAGTATATGGAATTGGTTTGGTAAAGTGTAATGACTTTAAAAATTTTAAATTATATATATGCATTCATTTATTTACTTAATTTATTATATTTCTTTTAGATCTAATTGCGTATATTTTGCCAATTGTAATTTCAATTCGATGGTTAATGAATCATCCCTTACCTGCTTGGGTTTCATCCGTTTCAATTTTCTTTTTAGAATTGAGATTTATATTTTATTTAAGAGTATTTGAACAATTTTGTATTTATTTTGCAATAATCATTGGCGTTGCAAGAAATACTATCTCTTTTTTTGTTATTCTAGCCTTTATCATTATTGTGTACACTCATGCATTTATTGTACTTAGTAATCATAATAATTTTTTTGATTCTTTTTTGGCTATATATAAATTAATGACAGGTATTTGTATATCTTTTTTATACTAAAAAAAAAAAAATATTTATTTGATACGGATTTAATTTTTTTTTTCTTTATACAAATGTAGGAGATACTACAAATTTAGAATTTCAAAAGAATCCAGAGCTTATTGTTATTTGGATTTCATTTTCAGTTTTCACAGTTATTTACCTTTTAAATTTGTTTATTGGATTATTAAATGAAGAAATTCAAAAAATTGATAAAAAAACTTTGTTTTTACATCAAAGAGCTGAGGTATTGAATTTTTATATAATAAAATGTATTAATTTGAAATTTTTTTTTATTTAAACTCACTTTTTTAAACTTTTTTTCAAATAGATACTTGCTGAAATTGAATTATTTAATTTGTTTCCTTCTCAAAGAAGATTGAAATCTTGGTTTCCTGATCATATGTAAGTTAATTTTTGCAAATTCATTAATATTTATCTTATAACACATGTTAAAATCTATCTTTATTTTTCTTTAGTTATTATTATGTAAATGTTGATGAATTGCAAAGAAAGTTGAATGAAATAAATAGTAGTGATACATATAAAGATAGTCCTTATAAGCCAATTATTCATCCAGATCTTTTAGATCTTATAACATGCAAGATTACAAATTCAATAGAAAATGGTACATATAATTCAATTTCAGAGAGAATTAATTTTAGTCTATTAAAAAATAAGGGTCAGATATCAATTACTCTTAAATTTAAAGGAAAAAAGTTGATAGATTATATTGATCATATTGTTATGGATAATGATGATGATGATAAAGATGGTAAAGAATTTAAAAATATGAATTTAGAAGAAAATAATATTCAAGATTATTTGAAATCAATTCAAAATATTATAAAATCAAATGTCTCAAAAAATAAGCATTATTTAAATATTACACTTGAATTTAAAGGTGCGAGATTAGTGAAATATGAAAGTCAGGTTGCTGATTAACTTAGCATAGTATGATATTGTTTATAGATCAAACCAGAGTTTTGTATTAATTATTAGTATATATGATTAACTATTCTTATATATAGTGATATGATTATTTTGATTTTTGTATATGCACTGAATTATTAAAGATATTTTCTATATAACATTTAAATTTAAACAAATAAAAAATGAAAGAGTAATATAAATTAGGTTAATATTTATGGTATTAAAAATTAAAATTCATAAATGAATTATATACTAATTATATGATAATAAATATTACTGTATTTAATCAGTATAGCTGTTACATTTTGTTCTGGATTATTGTATTTTCAAGCTTTCTATCTACTTTATGGTAATTGGTAAGTAATTTAATTCCGTCTGTACCCTATTTTCTACTATAAATCTTCATTATATCAATTTTAGTGATGCAAAATAAAATTATGTAATATGCTGCTATGTGAAATTTACTTTTAATGTTATATTGCAAAATCATAACTTTTCATTACTCTTTATAATTTGTGGAAACAAGCTATGTATTAGTAAATTGAATAGGAAAAAGAGGAGCATGAATTATTGGTATTCTAAAGTTTAATAATTTGTTGAGATGTCTACAATCAGTCCGATCAGCTGTACAGAAAAATCAAGCCATTTTGAATCTGACTTATTGTAAAAATTCTTAGTAAATATTCAAATTTGCGGTTGTAAACTTAATGGCCCAAAGAATCATTTTCAATTGATATATCGCGAGAAATTAAATTTTTCGCGGTGCACTTTTAAATAGTAATTGAAATTTCTATAGAAAAATCTTCACTAATGATTTTTACTATGGAGCAATTCCTATGTTTGTGATCGGAGACACCCCAATAATTTGTAAAGGAGTATAGTAAACTTTATAAACTTATATTTAAATTTACAAAACTCTATTTAAGCTTGAATATTCAAAATTACAAAAAGTTCCTACTAGTGTCAAATAGCAATTATGAAAATTAAATTTATTCTTTTATTTATTTTGATTTTATCCAACCAAATTTTATGTGATATATGAATTGGTTTATTAATTCATAAAATTTTGTTTAATTACAAACTGATTTAATTATATAAAGAAAAGTTTACTAATAAATAAAAACTAGTAAATAGATAATGATAAAATATTTCAATGAAAAATCAAATATAATATTTCCCTATAAGTCCGAAATATGTTATAAGATAAAATAATCTTATGTTTATTATTTAATATACTCTTTAGACTTTTAAATTATAATTCGCAGAAAATGATCATAACTTATAATCTATATTGAAAAAATAAGAATGAGTGATGTGACAAATAAAGTAACAAAGCATTATATTACAACTTTGTAAAATCAGTAATCTCTACTGAATTATTATTAACATTATCATCATATTTTAAGTTTTTTATAAAAGGATTAAGTAATCGAAATGTATAAATAGCTTGTGCATGAAAAGTAAATGATTTGCCAATTCTGATTGGTAAATGTTTTGCCTTTCTATATTCTTATGTCTCTTCAAATTGCTTATTATAATATAATTTTTTCAATTGATTCTTTTATTTTAATATAATTCGGTCTATCATTTTTGATTTGTATCCAACATTTTTTTCATTAAATCAATATAACATTTTGGCAGGTCTATATGTTTAGTTTTGAGCATGATCAGCATAAATATTTTTTTCGTCAATATCGATTTTTCTACATAGTCCCAAATACTCTCTTTTGTAAATAATAATATTTCCTACATGAGAATCTCGATTAACCATTTGTCCTTGAATTTCAATAAGACCTTTAATAATATCAGTTAATGCTTTTAATCCATTATACCAACCAAAATTTTTGTATAAAAATTTCCACCTTCTGCATATTCAAGAACCATAATGTACTCTTTTGTACTTGGATTTTGAGAAATTCCATATATTTTAAGAATATTATATATTTTTTGATTTGAATAATGTATTAATATATATTTATGTATTTTTATATTAGGCAAACTTAATTTTTCGCTTCTCATATCACGGTCGGGTCAGTTTTTGTTGAAAAAAAATTTTTTTTTATATCATTATTTAATATACCGGGTAAATTTTAAAAGTTTAAAAAAAAAATTTCATATGAATTTTACACACAAAATTTTTTGAATAAAAAATTAAAAGCCGAGTTGCCTGGTCATTTTCAAAATTGTTATGTTATGAGTACCGAAATATTAAGTTTACATGGTCTTTTTTTGTAAAAATATTTAAATAATAAAAAAATTTCATACCTCATTTATAAACTTATCAAGAAAATTTTGTGAATTATGTAATCATTTTAAAGCAACTCTTGTATTCGGCTTTCTTTTCCAACCTTTGTAGTCAAAGTCGTTATTATATAATAAACCTTTTTCCCATAATGATGAATATACTGTAGAAAAACCACCTTTACCTATTTCTTCAATATCATAAAACTGATCATATGGTATCCATTCAAACATCGTATAAGATTCAAGGAAATCATAATTAATACTTATGTTTTGTTTGCACGATATACAATTTTTATTATTTATTTCAAATTGATTACTGTATTTTTCACCACATTTTCCACAATAATATTTAAGTTGAAGAACTAAAATAAAATAGTTTGTGTTTGGATTTTGAGATAATCCATAGCATTGAATATCTTTCAGATATGATTCAACCTATCAAAATAGAAAGAAATTAATCTAATCTTAATATTCGATTTAAATTCGTAAAAAATTTAAATACCTCATCAGTAATACTTTACGAATTATGCAAATATTTTAAACCAACTTTTATATATGATTTTCTCATTATTATATTTTTATTTGTGTAAGTTAAAGGATCATCTTTCAATATTGTTGTAGCAACTAGCAAGTTCACATTCTCTATCTATCTCTTTAATCTCAATGAGATTATTATATAGTATCCATTTAAATACTGTATCACGATAATTAACTGCTTTTTTTGAATGTAATTATCAATTTTTTCATTTCCACTAGTCCAATATGTAAAATTCTTTTTTGATTTTTTTTGATTGACTTATTTGACATAGTTTACAATACCTATTGAAACGTTCTTCGTATTTATTGCTTCATACATCACAATAATAGTCAGATTATTTATTATCAAAAGCCAAAATAAAAACTTTGGCATTTTGATTATAAGATATTCCATAACTTTCATATTTTATAATGATATTTTCTTTTATAATTTTCATAATCTATTAAGTATAATTCGACCTAAAAAAAAAAAATTCATTATAATTAAATTCATAGGAAGATTTAATATCTTATTCGTAAATTCGTCTTGTAAGTCATATAAAAATTATAGTGGAACTTTTTCATGTGATGTTCTCATCCATTTACTTTAAACTTTATTATAATATAATGGACTATCCCTCCATATTGCTGTAGTCAAACAATTATTTCCTATTTTAATAAGTATTTTCGTGATTATTACCACATTTATCGCAATGATGAATTGATGATGCTATAAATATTATTAAAAACCAGAATAAAATCTTTTGTATCTGGATTTTGAGCTAGTCTATTATCCTTGAAACTCTATTAAATATGATTCAATCTACAAAAATACAAAAAAAAAAAAAATATTAATATACAAATATTACGGATATGTGTATAGAAGACTTCAATACCTTATTTGTAAATTCGTCAGTTATATTTTGTAAGTCACATAAAATCTTTATGTAACTTTTTCATGCGTACAATAGTCCTTATCCATTAATTTCTTACTTCATTATGATGTAATGGACCAACCTTCCATATTGTTGTAATCAAACAATTATTTCCTATTTCTTTAATATAAATAAACTCATTATACGGTATCCATTCAAATATTGTTTCTTTCGTACTTTAATTGCCTTTCTTTTAATCATTTAATTAGCTCTAATCCAGTTTTTTAACATCATTTTTTAAATAATCTATTTGACATGGTTTACACAAGTTTTCATTTAACATACCATATTAATTATTTATATTTTTACCACATTTTTACAAAAATAGTGTAAATAAATATTACTAAAAACCAGAATATGAACCTTTGTGTCTGGACTAGTGCTCCGCAAAATTCGGGTCTAACCCGGATAATTCAACCCGAGTGAATTTTAAATCGGGTTGGTATTAACAATTTTAATAACCCGTGACCTGCATGACCCGACCCGTCGGGTCGGGTCATTCATTTCCTTGACTCGGGTTTTGACCCGAATTAGACCCGGATGATAATTAAAATCACTGATCACATATTGATTACGCGTTAATATTGACTACGTTTATATAATATTGTTAGACGAATGAGGTAGTATATCCCCACTTAGCAAAAATGGCTAGAGACTACCTTGCAATTACAGGTATGTATATGAATTATTGTTATTAATTATTAACATTATATTAACTAATAAGTTGATTTTGATGATTAATAAAGCCCATTAGAAAGAGTATTTTCCAGTGGAACCGATTTGATAGCTGCAAAAAGATGTAGTCTTTAAACACATGCATGTTCTAATTGTATCTGCTTTAAATCCTGGCAGACGCAAAATATAGTCAAATTTCTGTTAAAGCAAGTGATTTTATAGTTCAAATATAAATAGGAATTGAAGATATCGTTAAATTCGTGCTTAGCATTAATTTTAATAAGAAAAAGTTGTGAGACCTATATGATTATCTTGTAGATCAATTGCCTTGCATTAATGAAAAAATTATATTTGAAAAAAATATTTCTGACATATTACTAAGAGTACAGTATATTATCCAATATATATATTGAAAATTACTAAAATTTCAGGTTTAACCCGGGTTATTTGAATTAAATATATTCAGGTCAGGTCAAAATTGGATCATTTCTATTTTTGCCGGGTCGAGTCGGATATATTCTCCAAGCCCGACCGAATCCGACCCGGTAGGAGCACTAGTCTGGACTTTGAGATATTCCATAATTCCATAATTATAGGATATTCCATTCATATTTAATAAATATGATTAAATCAAAAAAATTAGTACTTATTTAACATTTAATTAAATTAATATAGAAATTTAATACCTTATTTGCAAATTCAATTGTAATATTTTGTAAGTCATAAAAATCTTAATCCAACTTTTTCATAGGATGTTTTTATCCATTCATTTTCTTTTTTATCATAAAATAATGAATCATTCTTCAATATTGCTGTAGTCAACAATTATCTCCTATTTCTTTAATATCAATAAACTTATTATACGATATCCATTCATTTTCTTGAATGAAATTATCAATTATTTTATTTCAATGGTCCAATTTGCAAAATTTTCTGCAATAATTTTCTTCCCAGTAGTCAAATCGCCGAAATCTACAAAGTCAAATTCCATTTGAATATTAATTATGAATGAAAAATATTTGCTCAACTTAAATAAATAGCCTAAAACATGTACAATAAACTAAATCTAGTTAACAAAGAAAATGATTTTTTATTTTGTGTAATGAGTTACTACGAACGTTCAACGTAAATATAATTAAAATTAGTCAATTATAATTAGGTAAAATTTTATTATACAATATTTTATTCAAAAATATTGCATATGATAAAATTCTGCTAATCTACTACCAAAGTTATTTTGACTTCGATTACCTTGTTGCATCCGTTGATCTTATAAGCTTAGATCTTCCGCCTCCAGACAACAATGGTTTCCGTACAGAAATGTAAATACTTCAACATGCTAAATATCTAAAAATCTAAAACAAGCTACCAATACCAAAAATAATAAAAACATTTTACAACTTACTAATCTTTTTTTTTTTAAATTAATAATATAATTGAAATCCTAAAAACCTGTGATACTGCAAATATATAGTGGCAATATTTAAGTTCGAGAAATGTAATTTAATCTTTTATTAAATAAAATATTTTATTATTGAATCATATGAAACAGTTAACATTTTCTTTATATAGAATTTAATACAATTTATTAAAAGTATTAATATAAAAAATAATTAACATTAATTGCATCTTTTTCATTTTTTCATTATTTTTTTTTGCAATTTTTTTTTAATAAGAGATTAAATTTAAATCAAATTGAATCTAAAATTGAATCTTTTTTTTATTATAATTAGATGTATTAAAACTAATCTGCAAATTGTTAGATGAAATTTTTATTTATTATTATTAAATATATAAAAGAATTTATTTATTAGATATTAAATATAATAAATAAAATAGGGATGATTGTAAATTTTTGGTTGGTGATACTAAAAAAAAAAAAACTAAAAAATACAAAGGATTAGTAATATGGCAAACATATAAACCCTATGAGAAAGTACTATCATGCAAGAGAGCAAGGTGCATAGAGGTACCTCCTACAGTCACGTGCTATAGTTGTGAAATATCCACACTAAACATAACAAATAGTTCTAAATACGATAAATAAATGATAAAATAAATCTAAAAACCTAAATGAAATCTTTATAATGAAACACCTACAAATTAATCTAAAAATCTTAATCTAAAAATCTTAAAAATCTTAAAAACAATAAAATAAATTAAAATTCTAAATCCAATATCAAATCTAACACAATAAAAATAAACTAATAAACTAAAATTCTAAAAAAATAAATAAAAAAACTTCACTCTGAACACTGCCACAAATATTCATCATAAAACAACTACAGAACCTCAGTTTCTCTCAGGCTACAGCTGGTCATTAGCAAAATATAATTTGCCTAGCAAACAGAGCCATGTACACATGAATTCCTTTCTCTTGTAAGAACATAAAATGATACTTACCCTACCCAAAAGACCAAAGAAAAGAGTGAAAAAAAGAGAAATCACAAAGAAAAAAGAAAAATTCCAAAGAAGTGAGGGAAATCCCAGACATCCACGTTTTCCAGACATGGACTGAGAAGTTCCAAAAGTTATAGTAATACCATAAATCGTAAATTTTTCCGAAAAATAATTTAAAAAGATGATAGATTATTATGGATTATTATAGATAATTAGGCTAAAGAAAAGAGAGGAGACCAAAAAGAAAGTAGCAATAAAATTTGTATATGATTTTATCTTTATATAACTTTTTCATCATATATGGTATGAGTCAAAATGTGTTATTTGGTTTATTATGCAATCAACCTACTCATCTGATGTATTGAATGACTGTTATAAAATGGTTAATCATGATGAGTCAATTGAGTCATAATTGTCTATGGGCATGTGATCTGAGACACTTTTCTGATTATAGTAAAATATTTGTCACCCTGTGTACATAATTTAACGTGTACGCGCTATATAGTACTATACAATTTTGACCAATACAGCTTGCCATATAGTTTTTACTGTGTACGAAATCATATTTGTCAAACCATTATTTGCTTCAATGATTTTTCCACAACTGAGATGACTTTATACAATTTTATTCTAGAAATTCTTAAAATATCTTCGATATAATTATGACTGAAAATACTGAAATGAATATTCATTTAATAGATGGATATGATAGAATAGCAATTAGTACTACGTATAACCTTAAGATGGAAAATATCAGTAATAAAAGTATGTTAGATATATGGATTACGATAAATTTTGATTTTTTGACTCAGTTTTTTTACATATAGTAGACTTGGTGGTTATAATCATTGTTATCACCATTATCTGATTGGTATAAATGTCCAAAGTCGATGGTAGTGATTGTGAAGATTCAATGGTTGGGTTATTTGCTAGAATTTTAATTTGGTCCACCAACAACACAACAACACCATGACAAACAATTGTTAGAAGGGTATTCTTTGAAGTTTGGACATTTCTTGTTGATTTGTGAAAATGATCGCTAATTTCTTTTCGCCGTTATTAGCTGACAGCAACGTATCACGTTGCCATCAAATGATACTAGCAGTTACCGTAACTAAAAACAGGTGATTCAGAAACACAATTTTGAAATCTCTGAAAAGCCTATACAGTCAGACCCCATACAGTCACACCCTATACAGTCACACCTCTTTATAAGAACTCGATTTTGAGAAACGGTTTTAAATACTATCAAATTACCCCTCTATAATCACAATTTGACTATAATCACTATCACCGCATAATCCCAAACGGATATATCATTTCTATTAGTGATTAGACCTCTATTAATCACATCATAATTTCGGCCAAAAGCAATTTCGCCCAGAATTACAAAACATATAATTTTTTCTTTCCTTTTTAGGAATTAATGTTACAACACAAAATCGGCAAAAAAATTTTTTGTGGAACGGCTATCACCAAAAAAGGAAATATCCATAGTGATCACATAATTTTATAAATTATAATTTACTAATTTTGGCCAAAATTAAGATATAGTACCTGTATATAAGCACACCCCTATACAATCACTAATTTTATGGGAACCAATTAGGTGACTATATGGGGGTCTGACTGTACATATCTACAAAGTATTAGGTATAATATTCACCACGTAAAAACAAGTTTTCAAGCTATAAAGTTACGTGTTTTTTTGAAGATTTCCTCTAATTTCGTTTGTTTTTTTTTTTATAGATTTTTAATGGCCAAAACTGTAGCTGAGGATCTCAAATGGCGTGTAATATTCTTGTATAGTGATGGATATTCAAGAAAACAAATTGCAAAATTACTTTATATTGGGGAAACATTAGTTAACAAAGTTATAAATACGTACGCAAAGTGGGGATGTGTTGTAAACCCATGGAGGCGTCTATCAGGAAAGAAAAAGGTTTTCAATAGCTAGAAGTGATATGAATGTGAGAATAATTTGTAATAGTAAAACTTATTTGCATCAGAATATACATTAATACCAAATCATATATTAGATATTGCATGAAATTGTTCATGATCATGTTGATTATTATCTTGATGAATATATTGAGAAATGCAAGCACGAACTGGAAAACGTGTTTCTATTCCAACTCTATGGAGATCATTGGCTTATTGTGGTATAACTCGTAAAAAGGTAAATTTTTTTATTTTTAATAATAAATAATATAAAAATACTAATCATTCAATTCATTATTATTTTAGTTGCATAAGGCTGCTTCTGAGAGAAATGAATTGTTAAGAAGTGCATTTATTGCAACTATAGGTCGTTATAGAACTGATCAATTGGTATTTATGGATAAATCATCAAATGATGAACGTACTTTGATGCGTTTATATGGTTATTCTGAAATAAATTCAAGGGCAATAAAAAAAGTGGTTTTTGTTCGAGGTAAAAGGTATACTCTTTTACCTGCATTAACAGAACAAGGTATAATTGCTGTAGATATTATGGAAAGTAGTTGTACCAAATAAAGATTTAAAGAATTTGTAATTTCACAAGTAGTAAGTATATTATTTTACATAATAACATTTTATAATAATATTTATGTTTAATAATTTATTAAATTTTAGCTGCCACAAATGAATCCTTTTCCAAGTACAAATAGTGTTTTAGTTCTTGATAATGCTAAAATACATCATGATCAAGAACTTCTTGATTATTTAAGTGCATTTGGGGTAAAAGTTGAATTTTTACCCCCTTATTCACCAGATCTTAACCCTATTGAAACTGCTTTTTCTACAATCAAACAATTTTTACAAAGAAATAGATATTTTGTAGAAGTTAGCTACAATCCTATTTATCCTTTACTTATAGCTTGTTCTCAAATTACATCTCAAATGGCAAAGGGTTATTTTAGAGGATGTGGGTATTTTTAGAAAATAAAAAAAAATCGTATAATATTAGAATAGAATAATATTTTTTGTAATAACAAAAAAAAAAAAATAGAATTTTTTATAAAATTTATTGATAAAACAATAAATGTTCAGATTTTATTTGTTATATTTTTGAACTGCTTCTCTAATAGTTTCAATATCTCCAATTGCAGTTACTCCGCAAGTTTCAAATTGTGTATCATTCAATTTACTTAAATGCTTCACTCTAATTCTTTGTTTTTCAAATCCCTCTAAAAATTTGAAAAAATAATCCTCTGTTCCTTCTGTTTTATCTATTTGTTGCAAAAATTCAGCCATTGAAGGTAAAGGTTGTTGAGATAAAGATGGTTGCTGATGAAATGGTTGTAATGACGGTTGTTGAGGTAATAATTGTGATGGTGATTGTTGAAAAAATTGTGGCGTAACTAGTGCTTGCAAAAGATTAGAAAAAAAAGGATTAATGGAATTTTGTATATCATTAGAAAATTGAGGCATAGTAAATTGTGTTCTATTTTTTGGTGGACGAGTATATGCAAATGAAGGATGTGTTGGTGGTTCTTTAACTGTCACAAGTCCATTGAGCTAAAAAATAAGTTTGTTAAAAATTAATAAAGTGTTTTTGTTTAATTATAACTTAAATTACTAACCATTTCTGTGGCCCATGTTGAAAACATCATATTACTTATTTCAACATGAGGTTAACGATCCTTTAAGCAATGTCTATTATGTATAGAACATCAGGTCTCTTTTCGTAATTATGTAACATTTTTTGCTATTCTTTGATCGAGTATGGAAATATCTGATATTTTTGGAATTTTATTATTGTTGTTAGTTTTTGGAACAAATTGTTTCTTCATTATCTGAATTAGATTCCTAATTAAAATACAATGTATGATTAACTTTTTATAGAAATTAAAATATGATAAATAATAAATTCACCTTTTTTTTCCGTTTAACTGTCTTTTCTTTTTTTTTCATGGTAATAAGAATAAGTATAATCTTCTTTGTTGCAGCAAGTTTAATATATTCTGACTGAAAATTCCTAAAATCACACATATCTACCAATAAAGTACCAGCTCCTTGAGCTTTTTCTGATTTAAAAGAAACATTATAGTCATTAGCATTGATCTCTTCGTCTTTAAGAAGAGTCACGATATTATTCTGAATTGCAAGTAAAAATTCATCCAATTCAGAAACTGTAACTGAATAGTTTTTAGCTGGAAGAACAGTACCATCTGCTTGTTTAATAACAAGTTTGTAATTTACTTCTAGTTCTAATTCACCATCATCATTTTCAGTTTCTGAATTATCATTATATCTTGATTCACGTTGAATTATTGTTGTAGAGACTTCAGAGGACGTAACTTCAAGATCAATTACTTTTGTGGTATCTATCCTTCCTGTTTTTCCCGTTTCTTTTATTCCTGTATTTCTTGTTTCTCCCATTAAATTTGATTTATCAGAGAGTTTAGAACTTTTAGAAGACAAGCATTGATAAGAATCAATTATTTTGAAAAATATTTTCAAAAATTTTCATCTTTATTTATTCAAGTCAAACTTTATTGAAGTAATACATAGAATAATTCCTTTTAGTTTAACACACATAAAAAACTCAGAATTATAGACTACGAATATATATACAGTCAGACCCCCATATAGTCACCTAATTGGTTCCCATAAAATCAGTGATTGTATAGGGGTGTGCTTATATACAGGTACTATATCTTAATTTTGACCGAAATTAGTAAATTATAATTTATAAAATTATGTGATCACTACGGATATTTCCTTTTTTGGTGATAGCCGTTCCACAAAAATTTTTTTGCCGATTTTGTGTTGGAATGTCATGTAACATTAATTCCTAAAAAGGAAAGAAAAAATTATATGTTTTGTAATTCTGGGCGAAATTGCTTTTGGCCGAAATTATGATGTGATTAATAGAGGTCTAATCACTAATAGAAATGATATATCCGTTTGGGATTATGCGGTGATAGTGATTATAGTCAAATTGTGATTATAGAGGGGTAATTTAATAGTATTTAAAACCGTTTCTCAAAATCGAGTTCTTATAAAGAGGTGTGACTGTATAGGGTGTGACTGTATGGGGGTCTGACTGTACTTTGTTCTAAAATGTTTGTGAAATCCTGAGTAAATCGCAAGAGATCAGACCTAACAAAAAAGTTTTATCAGAAGTGTTTGTAAAAATATAGTGGAAATCGGAGAAATCAAATTCGATTTCTATATGGTTACACGATCAGGCTGATCGCACTAAATTGAAAACGGCGATAATTATTATAAATTACAATCAATTATCATTTAATATACACCTTGGAATATTTGTGTTTTGGGAAGAAATTTATTAAAATATAAATTTGGTAAATATATTGACATTTACCAAATAAACAAAATTATCATTGTAGTATTCAGTCTTATAGGGTCGATAGTCAGATCGTTAATATCTCATCTATACGTAATTAATGCAAGTGTTGAATATTAAGTTCATCAACTGCTATCAAATGTTTCAATGCTTCTAAGTTTTCAATATGAAAAATTACTATAAAAACTATAAAAAATGAAACAAAATGAAGTATAATAATTTGATGTTCATTATGAGATTTCTTTAAATTATTATTATTTTTCTTTTAAAAGATTATCTGAAATTATATGAATTAAAAAATTATTTCAAGAATAATATATCTCCAATAATACTTTCTTTTAAAAATAAATCTGGAATTTTTTGCCATTATGCAAATTCATTGATCATCACATGATTACACAAAAAAGCTTTCCCGTTTAAAGTTGTTTTAATAAATAAAAGGTATGGACGGATGAACATAATTGTTTATTGACAAATATATAAAAAAAATTGTTAAATATGTCAATAGAAATTTTTATAATAATTATGCCAAATTATTTCTTTACAAAAAAAAAATAGATTTTATTGATTTTATTTATTTCATTTTAATTTAATAACACTCATACAAATTTTTTCAGTTTTTATAAAATTAAATATTTAAGTTTCTATTTTCCAAATAAATAAATAATACCGTAAAGTCCCGAATATAAGCAACCTTTTTTTGTTATAGGGTGCTTATATTTGGTAAATTTATATATTTGGTATATTGTAGTATTGGCCAAAATTATCATAGTGTTGGTAAAGGGTGCTTACTTTCGGGTAATATAAAAATCTGGGGGTGCTTATATTCGGGGGTGCTTATAATCGGGACTTTACGGTAAATACTGTACTAGCAAAATTCACCCTAACAATTTGTATAGTTCATTTAGTGATACCAATTTTTCTTATAAATGAATTGTTAGTGATTGTGCCTTAATTCCGCCCTATTTTTTGTTTTAAAATTTTAATAAGTGATTTATAACACTCAGAAATTCAAAAAAAAGTTTTTAATTGAAACACAAATATCTTATATCTAGGTCACTACATCGTTTTGAAAAAATCTTTGAGATATTCCATAACTATTATTCTATTAAATATATAATCTGTTAAATAAAAAATTATATCAACATTTATTATTAATTAAAGTTGAATTTATAAGAAAATTTTATACCTTAAAAATTCAATATGCTATTCTGTAAATTATTATATAAATATTTTAATAAGATTATTTCATTTAATTTTCTTTTATATTTTCTATCATTATAACATAATGGACCACCTTTCCATATTGCTGTAACTAAGTCTTTTTCTGTTATTTCTTTAATATCCTCCGTTTAAATATTATATCATTATAATTATTAATTTTTAATTGCATCTTTTGAATTAAAATATTAATTTTTCCATTTCCACTAGTCCAATTTGTAAAATTACTTTTTAGATAATTTATTTGACATGGCCTGCACCATTTCGTACCTTCATATTTATTACCACACTTTCACAATAATCTTCAAAATTTTCAATCTTTTTTATCAGGATTTTTGGTTATTTTCGCAATCTTTTTTTATAATAATCTAATAGATGTGATTCAATCTATTAACATTTAATAATTATAAATAAATAAATAAATTTACTAATACCTTACTTATATATATGTTCATCAGTAATTTCTCGTGAACTATGCAGATATTTTAAACTATTTCATATGATGTTCTTATCTATTTTTTTTTTCATAAATTAATGGACCGTTCTTCCATACTACTGTAGTTAAACAAATATTTCCCGTTTCTTTAATATCAATAAGTTCATTATATGGTATTCATTCAAATACTTGTATATTTACATATTATCATTTTTTTTCTTTAGGATATACAAATTCAAGATTCTTTTTATCAATATTTTTAAATTAAATAGATTACATTTTAAAATTTTAAATTCATTATGGTAAAGTAAAAAACTATAAAGTATAAATTTACAAGTTTATAACAAATTTATTTTAAATATTATACGAAAATATTGCAAGTTTATCACTCATAATTGTACTAGATTTGTTAACATTTTTACTGGGAAATATTAAAAAAAATTCAGTCGAAACTTGCTTAAGAAATTGCACGTGTGGTTATTCTACAATAACTTTACAGGATATCATGTGAATTCGTATAGGAATTTAGATCAAATTTAAACTTCGGTTCAATTACAAACTGATTTTATTATGTAAAAAAGGTTTACAGTCTACTCTACAATCAGTGTTAAACAAAAGCTAGTAAATAGAATACTATCATTTAATAATAAATATTTAATGAAAAATAAGAAAGAATAATAAGTTTTCCTAAAGTATTTTTTGGTTGACAAGCCGTCACAAGTAAACTTAGTTAAAATAATTCCTCTTCAAAAAAAAAGAATATTTCATAACATTTATTTAAAATTACTCTTTACCTTAAACATTTAAATTGTTATTCACAAATATGGTTATAGCTTAAAAACTATAATGTAAAATAGGAATGTGAGACAAGATAAAAAAGAAACAGGTAATAAAACATAAGATATGACTTACTTTGCAAAATCAGTAATTTCTACAGTATTATTATTAATATTATCATCATATTCTGAAAGAATTTTTGTAAAGGGATTAAGTAATCGAGAAGTATAAATAGCTTTTGCATGGGTAGTTGATTTGTTGTTTTTAATTGTTAAAAGGTTTTCTTTTCTAGACTCTTGTGTTTCTTTAAATTGTTCTTCGATTTCATGGTGTTGTTTCTTCTTTACTTTGAAATTTTGATCTAATGAATTATAAAATAATTCAATAAATTCTTTTATTTCAATAGAATTTGGCCTATTGTCTGCATCTAAATCCCAACACGTTTTCATTAAATCAACATAACATTTTGGTGCAATTTTTTCATTTATTTCAGGTTTAATCCCATTACATATATTTAATACTAAAATCTCATCATGAGAAAAATTAGAAAAAGGTTGTCTCCCTGTTGCTACAAAATACATAATCATACCAAAACTATATATATCTGCTGCTTGAGAATATGGTTTTCCTCTTAATACCTCTGGAGCTACATAAGGTATAACTCCATATATACTTGTTTCATCAATATCATCAATTTTTCTACATAATCCCATATCAGAAATACATGCATTATAATCATTGTAACAATATCCATCAATTACAAACAATATATTTCCTATATGGAAATCACGATGAACCATCTGGTTTTGATGAATTTTACTAAGACCACTAATAATATTAGTTAATACTTTCAGCCCATTAAGCCAATCAAAACTTTCATAATTATTATCTAAATAATTGTTGAAATTTCCACCTTCTGCATATTCAAGAACCATAATGTAATCTTTTGTGTTTGGATTTTGAGATATTCCGTATATTTTAAGAATATTATCTATTTTTTGTTTTGGATATGCTTTAACCTATTAAAATGATACTAATTAATAAACATGTGTAAATTAATTTTATTAAAAAAAGTTATAAAAGAATTTATACCTCATTTATAAACTCATCAATAAAATTTTGTGAATTATGTAAACACTTTAAAGCGACATATGTATATGATTTTCTTTTCCAATTTACTAAATCATATACTAATAAGCCATCTTTCCATATTGCTGAATATATTGTAGAGAAACCACCTTCACCTATTTTTTTAATATCATAAAATTGATTATATGGTATCCATTCAAACATAATATTAAAAAAACCAGAGTTATGATCAATATTTAATTTCATTTCTTGAATTAAATCATTGATTTTTTTATTTTCATGATTTGTTTGACACCTCATGCAGCTTTTATTATCTATTTCAAACTTATTGTTGTATTTTTCACCACAGTTTTCACAGTTATAACCAACTTTATAAACTAATATATAATTATCTGTATTTGGATTTTGAGATATTCCGTAACTATTTTCCATTAAATACATAATCTGTTAAAATGCAATAAAATTATTACATTATTTATTAATAATTGAAGCAAAGGAGAATTCATACCTTGTTTAAAAATTCATTATTAATGTTTTGTGAACTATATAGATATTTTAATAAAACCTTTTCACTTGACATTCTTTTCAATTTTTGATTACTATAATATAATGGACCATCTATCCATTTTGCCATGGCAAAGTCACCTATTCTTATTTCTTTAACATCAATAAGTCTATCAAAAGGTATCCATTCAAATATAATATCATTTCCATTGTATTCAACATTTCCATTGTATCCAAATATATCGTTTCTATTGACCATATCATTGTATTTTAATTGCTTCTTTTGAATGAAGTCGTCAATTCTTTCATTTCCGCTAGTCCAGTTAGTAAAATTGCTTTTTAAATAATTTATTTGACATAGTTTACACCATTTACTATACTTACACTTTATATACTCACCACCACACTTTTCACAATAATATTGAAGATGATTATTACTAAAAATCAAAATATAATCATTTGTATCTGGATTTTGAGATAATCCATAGCCTTGATGTGTAATTTGAGAAGATAATCGGCCTTGATGAGACAAATCATCTCTTAAATATGATTTAATCTGCAACAATAAAATACATTAACCATATATTAACATTCAAACTAAATTTACAAAGAAATTTAATACCTCATCTATAATTTCTCCGGTAATAACATCTTGTAGATTATATAAATATCTTAGTACAACTTTTTCATATGATTTTCTTATCAATTTATTTTCATCTTTGTCATAATGTAATGGACCATTTTTCCATATTGCTCTAGTTAAACACTTATCTCCTATTTCTTTAATATCAATAAGCTCATTATATGGTATCCATTCAAATAATGCACCATTTTTATTATAATTTAATTGCCTTTCTTGAATGAAATTGTCAACTATTTCATTTTTACTAGTCCAATTTGTAAAATTATTTTTTAAAAGGTTCATCTGACAAGGTTTACACGAATTACACCGTTTATCATTTGTATTTTTTTCATATTTATTACCACATTTTTCGCAATAATAATTAAGATAAATATTACTAAAAACCAAAATATAAACATTTGTATCTAGATTTTGAGATAATCCATAGCTTTGATGTGAATTATAGCCTGGACGTGAATTTCGAGATAATTCATAGACTTGAAAATCTTTTAAATATGATTCAACCTACAAAGTAAAATAATTAATAATATTATAATATTATAACTAAATTTAGGAAGGAATTTTAATACCTTATTTATAATTTCTCCAGTAATAGCATCCCGTGAATTATGCAGATATCTTAGTACAACATTTTCATATGATATTCTTACAAATTTATTTTCATCTTTGTCATAATGTAATGGTCCTTCTTTCCATATTGCTGTAGTTAAATCCTTACTATCTCCTATTTCTTTAATATTAATAAAATCACTATATGATATCCACTCAAATACTGTATCATTTTTATTAATATTTAATTGCTTTTCTTGAATAAAGTTATTGATTATTTCATTCTCATTAGTTCTAATTATAAAATTATTTTTTAAGTGGTTTATCTGACATGGTTTACACCATTTATCGTCCATGCTTTTTTCATATTTATTACCACATTTTTCACAATAATGATTAAGATAAATATTATTAAAGATCAAAATATAGTCATTTGTGTCTGGATTTTGAGATAATCCATAGCCTTGACATGTAATTTGAGATAATCCATAATCTTGATGTGGAATTTGAGATAATACGTCTTTTAAATATGATTTAACCTATAAAAGCAAAATAAATCAACCATATATTCAGTTATTAACATTCAAACTAAATTCATCAAAGAAATACCTTATTTATAATTTCTCTAGTATCTCGTGAATCATGCAGATATCTTAGTACAACTTTTTCATATAATTTCCTTATCAATTTATTTTCATCTTTATTATAATATAATGGACCTTCTTTCCATATTGCAGCAGTCAAATACTTATCTCCTATTTCTTTAATATCAATAAGCTCACTATATGGTATCCATTCAAATACTACATCATTTTTATCATGATTTAATTGCCTTTCTTGAATGAAATCATCAATTATTTCATTTTTACTAGTCCAATTTGTAAAATTATTTTTTAAATGGTTTATCTGACATAATTTACACCATTTACCATCTGTATATTTATTATATTGATTACCACATTTTTCACAATAATAATTAAGATAAATGTTACCAAAAATCAAGATATAATCATTTGTGTCTGGGTTTTGAGATAATCCATAGCCTTGATGTGGAATTTGAGCTAATCCATAGCCTTGATAGGGAATTTGAGATAATCCATCTTTTAAGTATGATTTAACCTACAAAAACAAAATAAATTAACCATATAGTATTAATATTCATATTCAAACGAAATTTGACAAAGAAATACCTTATTTATAATTTCTCTAGTATCTTGTGAATTATACAGATATCTTAAAACAATTTTATCATACGATTTTCTTATCAATTTATTTTCATCTCTATCATTATATAATGGACCTTCTTTCCATATTGCTGTAGTTAAACACTTATCTCCTATTTCTCTAATATCAATAATCTCACTGTATGGTATCCATTCAAATAATGCATCATTTTCATTGCATTTTAATTGCTTTTTTTGAATGAAATTATCAATTATTTCATTTCCACTAGTCCAATTATTTTTTAAATGGTTTATCTGACATGGTATACACTGTATATCAATCATATAATTTCTATAATTATTGCCACATTTTTCACAATAATAATTAAGATAATTATCACTAAAAATCAAAATATAATCATTTGTATCTGGATTTTGAGATAATCCGTAGCTTTGGTGTGAATTATAATCTTGAAGTAAATTTTGAGATAATTCATCATAGTCTTGATATGGTAATCCAAATCCGTAATAGGCTTGAGAATATGATTCAACCTACAAAAACAAAATGAATTAACAATATATTAACATTCAAACTAAATTCACAAAAAAATACCTTATTTATAATTTCTTCAGTATCTCGTGAATTATACAGATAATTTAATACAACTCTTTCATTTGATTTTCTTATCAATTTATTTTCATCTTTGTCATAATGTAATGGACCTTCTTTCCATATTGCTGTAGTCAAACACTTATCTTCTATTTCTTTAATATTAATAAACTCACTATATGATATCCATTCAAATACTGTATCATTTTCATTGCATTTTGATTGCTTTTCTTGAATAAAATTATCAATTATTTTATTTCCACTAGTCCAATTATTTTTTAAATGGTTTACCTGACATGTTATACACTGTTTACCATCTGTATTTTTTCTATATTCATTACCACATTTTTCACAATAATAATCAAGATAATGATTACTAAAAATCAATATATAATCATTTGTATCTGGATTTTGAGATAATCCATAGCATTGATGTCTATAGACTTGAGAATATGATTCAACCTATGAAAACAAAATAAATTAACCACATATTAATATAATATTCAAACTAAAATTCATAAAGAAATACCTTATTTATAATTTCTTTAGTATCTTGTGAATTATGCAGATATCTTAATACAACTTTTTCATTTGATTTTTTTATAAATTTATTTTCATCTTTGTCATAATGTAATGGACTTTCCTTCACTATTGCTGTAATCAAACACTTATCTTCTATTTCTTTAATATCAATAAACTCACTATATGATATCCATTCAAATACTACATTATTTTCATTGTATTTTGATTGCTTTTCTTGAATAAAGTTATCAATTGCTTCATTTCCACTAGTCCAATCTAAATGGTTTATATGACATGGTATACATTTATCATCCGTATCTTTTCTATATTTATTACCACATTTTTCACAATAATAATCGAGATAATTATTATTAAAAACTAAAATATAATTATTTGTATCTGGATTTTGAGATAATCCATAGTCTTGATATGGATTTTGAAAGTCTATTCCGAACATATAGGCTTGAGTATATGATTCAACCTACAAAAATAAAATAAATTAACAATATATTAATATTCAAACTAAATTCACAAAGAAATACCTTATTTATAATTTCTCTAGTATCTTGCGAATTATGCAGATATCTTAATACAACTCTTTTGTTTGATTTTCTTATCAATTCACTTTCATCTTTGTCATAATGTAATGGGCCTTCTTTCCACATTGCTGTAGTTAAACACTTATTTCCTAATTCTTTAATATCAATAAACTCACTATATGATATCCATTCAAATACTGTATTATTTTCATTGTATTTTGATTGCTTTTCTTCAACAAACATATTATATGGTATCATATAATTTTTATTGTATTCTGATTGCTTTTCTTGAATAAAATTATCGATTATT